TGGCTAGGGGTTTGTCTATTTTGTTTATTTCCTTAAAGAACCAGCTTTGTTTCATTGATCCTTTCTACTGTCTTGTTTCAATTTCATTTATTTCTGCTCTAATTTTTATTATTTCCCTCCTTCTACCGACTTTGGGCTTTGTTCTTCTTTTTCTAATTCTGTTAGGTGTAGTTTGAGATTGCTTATTTGAGATTTTTCTTGTTTATTGAGGTGAGCCTGTATTGTGATGAATTTCCATTTTAGGACTGCATTTGCTGTATCCCAAATGAGTTGGTATGGTGTGTTTTCATTTTCATTTGTCTCCAGATAATATTTGATTTCTCCTTTAATTTCTTCAATGATCCATTGGTTGTTCAGTAGCATGTTGTTTAATCTCCACATCTTTGCCCCTTTCCTAGCTTTATTCTTGTAATTGCTTTCTAGTTTCATAGTCTTATGGTTGGAAAAGATGCTTGATATTATTTCAATCCTCTTAAATTTGTTGAAGCTTGCTTTGTTTCCCAACATATGGTCTTTCCTTGAGAGTGTTCCATGTGCACTTGAGAAGATGATGTAACCTGCTGTTTTTGGTTAGAGTGTTCTATATATATCCATTAAGTCCATCTGGTCTAGTTTTTAATTTAATTCTACAATTTCCTTGTTGACTTTCTGTCTTGATGATCTATCCATTGGGGTTAGTGGGGTGTTGAGGTCCCCTACTATTATTGTATTGTTGTTGATATCTCCTTTTTAGGTTTTTTTTTAAGATTTTATTTTTCCTTTTTCTCCCCAAAGCCCGCCGGTTCATAGTTGCATATTTTTAATTGTGGGTCCTTCTAGTTGGCGCATGTGGGATGCCGCCTCAGCATGGCTTGATGAGCGGTGCCATGTCCACGCCCAGGATCCAAACCAGCAAAACCTTCTGCCGCTAAAGCAGAGTGCACAGACCAAACCACTCAGCCATGGGGCCAGCCCCTCCTTTTAGTTTTGTTAGTAGTTGCTTTACGTACTTTGGTGCTCCTATATTGGGTGCATATATATTTATAAGTGTTATGTCTTCTTGGTGGAGTGTCCCTTTTTTTTTTTTTTTTTTTAAGATTTTATTTTTTCCTTTTTCTCCCCAAAGCCCCCCGGTACATAGTTGTGTATTCTTCGTTGTGGGTTCCTCTAGTTGTGGCATGTGGGACGCTGCCTCAGCGTGGTCTGACGAGCAGTGCCATGTCCACGCCCAGGATTCGAACCGACGAAACACTGGGCCGCCTGCAGCGGAGCGCGCGAACTTAACCACTCGGCCACGGGGCCAGCCCCTGGAGTGTCCCTTTTATCATTATGAACTGCCCCTCTTTGTCTCTCTTTACCTGTTTTGCTTTGAAGTCTACTTTGTCTGATATAAGTATGGCAACACCTGCTTTCTTATGTTCACTACTAGCTTGGAGTATCATCTTCTATCCCTTCACTCAGAGTCTGTGTTTGTCTTTGGAGCTGAGGTGTGTTTCCTGGAGGCAGCATATTATTGAGTCTTGTTCTTCAATCCATCCTGCCATTCTGTGTCTTTTGATTGAAGAATTCAATCCATTTACATTTAGAGTGATTATTGAAATGTGGGGACCTAATGCTGCCACTTTATCACTAGTTTTCCGGTTCTCCTGCATTTCCTTTGTTTCTCGTCACATGAATTTCGGACTACCAATTCAGTTAGGTAGTTTTCTATGTTGGTTTTCTTCTTATTTGTAATTTATGTCTCTGTTCTAATTATCTTTTTAGTGGTTACCATGTGGTTTGCATAAAACCTCTCATAGATGAGAAAGTCCATTTTCTGATAGCCTGTTATTTCCGTAGAATAAGCTGGTTCCATCCCTTTCCTCTCCCCCTTCTAGGTTGTTATTGTCAGATCTTTTTTTCTTCTTGTGTTGTGAGTTTGTGATTAAAATGACGAGATTATATTTATTGTTGGTGTTTCCCTTCCCTTTATCTTTAACGTTATACTTAAGCATTTGCTAACCTGTTCTGATGGAGAGCTGAAATTTTCTGATTTTGTCTTTCTACTTATCTCCTTTACTCAGGGTTTTATAATCCCTTTCCTTTTTTTACTCAGGTATGAGGACCTTTCTGAGCATTTCTTGGAGGGGAGGGTCTTGTGGTGAGGAACTCCCTTAACTTTGGTTTATCTGGGAAAGTTTTTATTTCTCCATCGTATTTGAAGGATATTTTCACTGGATAGAACATTCTTGGCTGCAAGTTTTTGCCTTTCAGAGTTTTTAATATGTCATTCCACTCTCTCCTAGCCTGTAAGGTGTCTGCTGAGAAATCTGCTGACAGCCTGATAGGGGTTCCTTCATAGGTTATTTTCTTCTGCCTTGCTGCCCTTAATGTTTTCTCTTTGTCATTGACTTTTGCAGGCTTCACTACCATATGCCTTAGTGGTTGGTCTTTTCACAGTGATAAAGTTTGGAGATCTGTTAGCTTCTGTCACATGGATTTCCAGCTGTCTCCCCAGGTTTTGAAAGTTCTCAGCTATTATTTCTTTAAACAAGCTTTCTGCTCCATTCTCCTTCTCTTCTCCCTCTTGGATATCTATAATCCTTATGCTACATTTCCTAATTGAGTCAGATATTTCTTGGAGAGTTTCTTCATTTCTTTTTAGTCTTAGTTCTCTCTCCTCCTCTATCTGAAGCATTTCTATATTCTTATCCTCCAAACTGCTAATTCTGTCCTCCATATTATCAGCCCTACTGTTCAGAGAGTCCAGATTTTTCTTAATCTCCTCCATTGTGTTTTTCATCTCCAACACTTCTTTTTTTTTTTAAGATTTTTTATTTTCCTTTTTCTCCCCAAACCCCCTGGTACATAGTTGTATATTTTAGCTGTGGGTCCTTCTAGTTATGGTGTGTGGGACACTGCCTCAATGTGGCCTGATGAGCGGTGCCATGTCTGCACCCAGGATCCAAACCAGTGAAACCCTGGGCTGCCACAGCAGAGCACTCGAACTTAACCACTCGGCCACAGAGCCAGCCCCACCAACATTTCTGATTGGTTCTTCTTTATCTTTCCCATAGTATCTTCTTTATACTTTCCCAAAAGTATCCTGTATCCCTAGTATCAAGCTTTTTTGTGATGTAGCTCCTGAACTCATTGAATTGTCTATCTGTATTCTCTTTTAACTCATTGAGGTTTTTAATGATAGCTATTTTTAATTCTTTGTCATTTAGGTTATAGATTTCTGTGCCTTCAGGATTGTTTTCTGGGCACTGGTCATTTTCCTTCTGGAGATGTAATATATTTTTTCATACTGCTTGATGGCATGGATTTGTGCCTCTACATAGAGATAGAGTTTGGTTACTGCTTCCACTAGGGGATAGGGAGCAGCAGCTGTGTAATCTGCACTGACCAGGATCCCTGTCAGCTGTTCCTGACTCAGCCTGGGCCCCTCCTTGGGATTGCAGTGGCCCTGAGGGGTCTCCTGTCAGCTGTGGGAACTTCAGGTTGCTGGTGCCTGCTCCCACAGACCCGCTTAGACATGCTCCCTCCGTAGGGTCTGCAGCGGTGCTATGGGCTTTCACGGCAGCCAGGAGCTGGTTCGCTCAGACTCACAGCTCTGCCACTGTCTGGTCCCGCTGGATCTCACTTGCCCACTCTGGGCCGCCACAGAGCTATGAGCATCTAATGCAGCCAGTGGTTAGCTCACCCAGCCATGCCACTTCTGCTCTTAGGTTCCCCAGCCTTTGTGCTTGGTGGGCGTAGCCTCTCCAGTAGGACCAATCAGAGGTTCTCCCTGAAGCCACTGTGGGACCGTGGATTGTCCCCCTGGACCAAGAAGCAGTCATGCTGGGGCTCCAGATTGTCACCGCCCACTCGCGCAATCCCACTGGATCTCACTTGCCCCCTCAGGGCCACAGCAGAGGTGTGGGTGTTTAATGCAACCAGCGGATAGCTCACCTTGCTGAGCCACTCCTGCCCCAAGGTCTCCTAGCCTTTGTGTTTGGTGGGTGGGGCCTCTCCACTAGGGCCGACCAGAGACTCTCCCTGCAGCTACTGTGGGACCATAGATTTTCCCACTGGTTCACAGGGCAATCATGGGGGGCTTAGGGCTGTGGTCACCTGTTTCCATGGTCATGCCAATGCACATGTTCACCCTTGGGGGTGGTGCTATGAGCGTGCTGTGAGCTGGGAGAGAGTCACTCACAGGTACTAGGCTGTCAGGGGCCAGAAAGTTTTCACGTATCTCCACCTCCTCCCCAGGGATAGTCCATCCACCTCCCAATGTATAGCAGCATGGGTCTCTCAGGCATCCTGAGGTGCTGTGTGAGTATCCTCTGTTCATCAATGAATGTCCAATTAGTTGTAGTTCGAAAGGAAAGAGACAAAGAAAACTGTTCACTCCACTATCTTGCTGACGTCAGTCCTCAGTAACTGTTTTTATTTCTAGTTATTGTTTTAGTTATTTTTCAAATTAGCCTGTTCTTTTTCCCAATTTTTTATTCTTATGGTTTCTATGCTTTCTTTTCTTTTTAGTGGATTTTAAATATGCAGTGTTTCAAATATGTCTCCCTATCTCATATGCCAAGCTTACAGTGTAATTATATAAATACAAATTCACTCAAGGTGAAAATTTTTACAGGAAGCCAGCTTTTATTGTCATTTTTAAAACTAGTCCCATAATTCAGGCAAAATAAGAAGAGGAAGGTGAAGGGGACAGGGAGGCCCAGAGGAGGGGAAGGAGAAGAAGGAAGAAGAGAAAACAAAAAGAGAAAAAGTACACAGCTGTTATATTAGTGGTTGAATTATTTATATTACTCATCAAATAGCATCTAAACTACTGAGAAATTATACAATCCCTATTTTACTTATTATATATGATATTGTCTTATCATTGTAAGAGATACTCTTCGTTTAGGTTAGAAGAAAAATTTCTGACTTTCTTCCTTGATTCTAAATAGCTAAATAAGCCCTCATTATGCCGTGTTCTTCCTCCTGCACCTGGGAAGGGTATTTCATATATATACATGTTTCTCTTTCAAAAGGAGAGAAGATTCATACTGAGGACCTGAAAGATGTTCTGAAAAACATGGGTATAGAGATCACAAATAAGGAACATAAAAAGCTGGTGAAAACTCTGCCAGTTTCTGGTAAGCATTTAAGCGTATTTTACTTCACTGATGTCTAAAAATTTGTTAATTCAACAAACATTACTGAAAATCAGTTGTGCGCATGGCAGTATACCAACTCTGGGAGAACAAGGACCATGTCTGCAGAGACTGTGTTTCCTCAAGTCCTTGCCATCTTAAAGAAAACTTCAGGAAGGTTGGTTTCAAGGTTTTGTATTAGAAATTCTAATATTTGAAACACTTTGTGTCAATTGAAAATATTTTTTTAAAGATTCAGTCCTAGCATTTTTTAAAATCCTGTTCTTATCATTTAGATTTTGATTTAAGAAACAAGACCTCTTAAGAAGTCCCATCATAGGACAAATAAGTTCTCACCAAAGAACCTTTGGGAGAAATTTAAGGTCTAAGCTGGAAAAAGATGAAAGGACAGAAGGGTTGGAAAGCTGAAGAAAGAGAAGATAAAGCCAAATTAGAAAGGATAAAATGGGAAAGGAAAAGCTGTGTGTGTTTTAGCACAGTAGGGTGCCACTAACAATAGCTGTATTCTATCCAGTGGATAGATTCACTACACTGAGTTTTCTAAACACTTTTCATTTCATTGAGAAAGAGTCATGACAAATTTCTAAATTTTCCCTTTCTGAGAGTAACCACTTTGATTTTTTATGAATCACCGAAAATCAATAATGTTTTATCTTACAGCTGATAAAAAGGTGTTTGAGAAAGAATTACGGGAAGGTGTGAAATCTTTCAAAGGTGAGTGAGAAAAAAGGATAAGGACAATAAAATCTGAGATTGTTGTAATTTTTTTAGATTATATAAATAATTTATAATTATATAAATAGTCAAAAATGGTGCATTTATTCAACAAATATCCTACTATGTGCTGGGTATTTGAGAATACAGTCACGTGTCACTTAACAATGGGGATACATTCTGAAAAATGTGTCATTAGATGATTTTGTCCTGGTACAAACATCACAGAGTATATTGAAGGGAAACAAAATTTGCCATCCCAAAACATGTCTTTTTAACATGAGGATTATTTTAGACTGATTATTTGTAAGAAACAAAAGACCCGGAAAGTTTTTCTTGTTACTTCCTCCTTAACTACCAAAAAGAATTCAGATTAAAAAAAAACCTGTCTCAGGAAGCGAGCTCTCACCTTGGCATCACATGGACCAGGTGGTCAACAGGCAGGAACCTAGAAAAACCTCTGTGTTGAGCTCTCTTCTGTGTTCTTCTGTTTCTATGTGGACAAACAAACACTTGTTTTCCAGACATTTGCTCCTTTTCGCCTACCTGTGAATTGCCTTCCTTTCCTTTGAAGGCCCTGACTCTCCTCACCCCCACCATCTTCTTTTGTCTTTAGCTGAGGATGGTATTTAAGATGAGGGCTTCAGCCATTTTGGTGAGTTACTTAGTTTTCCTGGGTTTCTCCCATGTATACATGTTATTAAACTTTTAGGATTTTTTCCTGTTAATCTATCTCGTGTCAATTTAATTCTTAGACCAGCCAGAAGAACCTAGAAGAATAGAGGAAAATTTCTTCCTCCCCTACAGTACTTACACAAACCTAGATGGTATAGCCTCCTATACACCTGGGCTATATGATACTAATCTTACAGGACCACTGCCATATATGCAATCCGTCATCAAACGAAATGTTGTTATGTAGCACATGACTGTAATCTGGAATATATAAAGTAGCATGCAGAAAAAAATGTAATTGCCCATAATCCCAAATAATAGTACCTTTTTTATTACAGTTCTCTCTGTTCTTTTTTCTGTGTATATGTATGTGTTGTTAATTAAACTCTTACTGTATATTTTATGTATCCTACACTTAATCCTAAGATTTTAGTATAAGAATTTCACCATGTGGTTTAAAAATTCTTTGTAGACATCCTTTTGTTTTTTAAAGATTTTATTTTTTTCCTTTTTCTCCCCAAAGCCCCCCAGTACATAGTTGTATATTCTTCGCTGTGGGTCCTTCTACTTGTGGCATGTGGGATGCCGCCTCAGCGCGGCTTGATGAGCAGTGCCATGTCCACGCCCAGGATTCGAACCAACGAAACACTGGGTCGCCTGCAGCGGAGCACGCGAACCCAACCACTCGGCCACGGGCCAGCCCCTGTAGACATCATTTTTATTGGGTTACATTATAATTTACTTTATCATTCTTTTCTTATTGAATATTTAGGAGGTAGTCTCCAATGTTTTGCTCTTATACGTCTGTGATCTTTGTACATAAATCTTCATCCAACTTTAAAGTCATTTTCTTTGGATAGATTCTTCCAACTGGAATTACTAGGTCAAATGATCTTAACATGTTTAAGGCTTTGATGTATACAAGTGAAGAAGAGTACCCATTACCATTACGCCTGGCCACAATAGATTATTTTCATATTTTTTGATCCTTGCTAATTTGATAGAGGGAAAATGGAGTCTAATTATTGTTTTGATTTCTTTGTTATCAATGAAGTTGAGAATGTTTTTATATCATTATGTCTTTCCATCATTTAACTATTTGTTCTGACCTTTTGCCCATTATCCTATTGGAATCCGAGCATTTTTCCTATTAATTTGAATGACCTGTTTATTAATTAAAGATATTAGCACATTCTCATATCTATAGAAAATGTTTTTCTAGTTGGTTATTTGCATTTTTATTTTATTGTATTTTTACAATGGCTTTATTGAAATATAATTCACATACCATACAATTCACCCATTTAAAGTGTATGATTCAATGGTTTTTCATATATTGACAGAATTGTGCAACCATCACCACTGTTGATTTAGAACATTTTCATCGAGCCAAGAAGAAACACTGCACCCGTTAGCAATCGCTCCTCATTCCCCGCAGCTCTTCCAGACCTAGGCAACCACCAATCTACTTTCTGCCCGTTATGTTGTATTTTTATATACAGACATTTTTCATTTTTATGTCTTTAATTGTATCAGTCATTCTTTCTGTAATTTCTTCTTGTCTTTTTGTATTTAGAAAGTCCCTTACTATCTAGACAGCATATAAAAAATTATTTACATTTTATCTTTGTTTTCCTAAGTTTTCATTTTTTACATTTAATTATTTAACTCATCTGAAATACATACTTTGACTCTTTGTAAATCCTCATATTTTATAGTGATTTGATCAAAATTACACCAATAGTTTTCAAATTATTCTGCCTCATTAACCAGTTTTTTTAATGTATAATTACATTAAGAAGGTAATTTATTGTTACTATAGCAAATTTCAAATCTCACTTTTTGACTGGAATAACATGACTTGGTTGTCATCTTGCCTAATTTACCAGAGTTGCCACACTCTTTCCTTACTTTTTTCTCCCCAGTATAAACTTCTCCCAGAAGTTTAGTTACGGGATTTTGTTCTGTTTCTGATTCCCACATAACTTGCTGTAAATAATTTCTTTGTGCTTTCATTTCTAGGTAGGGGTTGCTGCATTTTTCATTTTGTGACCTCCTTATCTACTTTTTCTTGTTTTTATTCAGGAGGAAAGGTTACTGTCAGTGACCTAAGAAATGTTCTACAAAACACTGGGTTCAGACTCGAAGCAAATGAAATCCAGGACCTGCAGACCCACCTACCAGTTACTGGTAAGCATTTAAGACACCTTCAACCTATAGACATTGACTAGTCTACTGTGAGAGCAGTGAGGAAACACATGTCGGGGACGGAAAAACTGGGGACAGAGATACAATTTAGTGGTTGTTGCTGAGGTCCAGATGATAAGGTCTTATTTAGGGAACCATACTGGTGATATATGGGAAAGACTGATTTGATGTGGTAGGTAAAAGAGAGGGAGAAACTAAAAGTATGAACCAAAGGTTTATAGCTTAAATGATTGACACAAAACAAAAAAAGAGGGATGGGGGTAGACAGAAGAAGAAGAAGAATGAAGAGAAAAATTGTGTTTAAGATGTAACTGAATTGAGGTAATTACAGGACATTTAGATACAAGGTATCAGACAATGGAAAATGCATTCCCTAGTTATTAATCTTTAAGTAAGATTCCTTCAAACCCTGAGGACCACCAGCAAGGTTAAAACAATGCCTCACTGTCCCTATGAGTACAGGAATACCAAAAAAAATAGAAAGATAAAATAAAGACATGTTAGAGAGATCAGGAATGGAATTAAAGAGTAGGATAAGGAAGAAAGATAAAAGAAAGAGATAAGAGTAAGAGAAAAGAAAAAGAGTAGGAAAAGATTATATAAAGATATATACATAAGGATATAGACTGACCATTTTGTTTTTTAAACAGCATAACTGAGATGGTATCAGGGCTGAGTTGAAAGGACCCAGACTGAAGAAAAGGAGGGGAGTAATCTCTTCTTTCTTCACCAGAGCCCCCAAGCTGAGCCTGGTAGTTAACATTAGGATGCAGATCACCAAGAATCTTGACTGGCATGAGAGGCTGGTTTCAAGTCTCCTTATAATAACGTGGAACCCCAAGGACCAGGAAGAATATCTTTTACTAGGGCAGGACTTCATTATTCAAGAATCAAGGTCCTAAATTTTAAATACATTTCTTTTTTTTTATTGATTCATTCAACAAGTATTTATTGAGTGCCACCAATATTCCAGCATTGTGTTAGCATTGCTTTATTTACTTGGCAAATATTTATACTCTCTCTCTGCAGCATGTTTACTAGAAACTGAGAATGTTTAGTACAGGAACAATGGAGACATGATGTCTGCCCTTAGAGGGAAATGCAAAAATACAAGAGAACTAGCGAAGTTTAAGGATGAGGAACTCCTGGGCTAAGTGATAAATGTCTACTGAAGTTGGATTAAGCAACAAAAGTAAACTGAATCTTGCCTATTATTGTATGTACCCTCTAACCCAATGGTTCTCAAACTTTTTGGTCTCAGAACTTCTTTACGCTCTTAAAATTTATTGAGGATGCTCAAGAGCTTTTCTGTTTTTGTAGGTTATATCTATCTATTAATATTAATTGTACCAGAAATTAAAACACATTTTAATTTTTTCAGTTCATTTTAAAGTAATAAAAATTCTGCTACATGTTTAAAAACATATTTTTTTAAAATAACTATGTTTTTCCAAAATAAAACAAAAAATTTAGTGAGAAGAGGGGCATTGTTTGACATATTTACAAATTGCTTTAATATCTAGCTGCTTTCTCATATCTGCTTCTGCAGTAAATCTATTGGGATATGTTGTTTTGGTTAAAGTATATAAAGACAATCTGGTCTCACACAGATGTATGTAATTGGCAAAGGAAGGAGTATTTTAATAGCCTTTTCAGATAATTGTGGATATTCTTCTTTGATATTACCCAAAAACCAAACAAGTGCTAGCTTCTTAAAGTTCAGTTGCAATATGGGATCAGAAACCATATCAATAAACTTTTTATACTTGTTTACATTAAAATATGTTGGTCTATCCTACACTTTCATCTTTACCCATGCTTGATTTTGTAACATCGTGCTTTGGTTGTTTGGAAAATATTGATTCACTGAGTTATATAGATCTTCCAAATATTGGCACATTTCATTATTCAATATCAAAAAATCACATTTGTTAATATCACCACCAGTCTTATCAAAAGAGTGTTTAAGTATTGGGAAGCTATCAAGTCACGATGTAGATATAAAGTTTCCAAAATTCAAATTTTTGTTTGAAAACTTGAACTCTACCATTAAAACATCTACTGTCAGCTGTTTTCTTAAAATAACAGATTCATCTCGTTCGTTTTCAAGAAGATGTTTCCCAAATACCAAACTCTGAGCCTGTCAGTGAAAATGGTGTTCCATGAAAAAGCAGCTAGTTTGCTTTGCAACTCAAACAATCACAGAAGTTCTTTTCCTCAAGAAATCATCATGTTTTAGTATGGAGCTGACGTGTTTTATGCAGACTTCTCTTTTCACTATACAAAATATTAAAAATCTGTGTCCTCAAGGGTTAACATTTAATAAAACTAATAACTTTTGCTGCTTTATCAAGGACATTCTCAAGTGAAATTGACATTATTTGACTACAAGTACGTACAGGGAAGCACACAATGACTGCTGCTACAGTGTGTTGCCACTGCCTTGATTCATGCAGATGCCAGCAGTTTAACCCACCACGGCTTTTGCACCATCAGTGCAAACATCAACACAGTGAAAAAGGCAAAGGGTATTGGGTGACTCCAAAGGTTCATGGACCACACTTTGGGAACTGCTGTCTGACCTCTCTCAGCCTTCTACTCAGTGCAGGAGAACTAGGTCTGAAAGGAGGAGAACTGGCCCGTGGGATGGAGCTGACTTCAAACACACACACAACTCCACTCACCATAATAGGCTAAAAATTTTTAACAGCTAACAGCTTATGAAATTAAAAAAAGAAGTTATATTAATTGAATGGATATACATTTAAAGCTTAAATTTTCTTTCTTCTATTACATGTTCTTGTGGATTGAAAACTCTAGAATAAAGCATGAAAATTATTGGGATTCCATGTACCCTATCTTTATTTAAGAATTTTATATAATTTTTCAAGTCTTGTTATCTTCATCTGGGTCTAAATTCTGAATTTTCTTACAGAAGATGAAAAGGTTGACTTAGATGTGTTGATGGACGCAGCAAACGCTTTTACAGGTGAGTGAGAATTTGTATAAGAAGTTATAAAATTGAGATCTTGATGCTTTGCAGAGAATTAATTTTTTAAAATAGTAGTTTACTCTCCCCAGCCATCATTAGTAAGTTCACTCTGCTCTTTTTCCTATATATTGATAATTTTATTGACAACACTTCAGATTATTGGAGACTTAGGAAAAGTGTGGGCACTCTCAAAAAGAAGTATTAACTTGTCCAATATTTTGGCCAGTAATGTGTTCATTTCTATAGTGTTTGAACAATCAAAATATAGGTGAACACCGTGAGTCTCAATGTGAAGTTTTTGCATCAGGAAATATGATCACTATAAACAGTCATAATAATTCATAATCCCATAATTCAGATCATGAAGTAGTAACAGAGATATTACTTGCCTGTAGAATTATGTAGATTCTATATACCATGATAAGACATTGGGTAGTGATACTGCCTCTCTATCACTCCATGCTATATTGACTCATACACAGAATAGAAGTGTTATCTTCTTATATGGATTAAAGAACGTTTTCAGGTACTGAATTTCACAATAACTTTGTGTAAGTGAAGTCAGCTCATGTATTTAAACTTTTTATCCTGCAGTTAGAAATAATGCTGTGCTGGATTATGTTTTTCATAATTTAGAATAATTAGATCTCTTAATATTGTCACCTGAAACAATTCCCATCTATTCAAAGGAGAAAAGGTTGAAGCCAGTGATTTAAATAATGTGCTGGGAAACATGGGAATCAAGCTCACTGAAAAAGAAGAGTTGATACTATCAAAAACACTGCCAATCTCCAGTGAGTATTTAACGTACCATCATATGAGGTGCTCAGGGAAATGAGGTACTGTGAACTTCTGGGTGAGAATTGTCCAGTGCCTAAAATGCAGTTCAGACATAAGAAACCCTGTTCTTGTCACTTGTGTTTTAATTTGGAAGTGAGAAACTTTCTTTTCCATTCAGCCAATGAGCCCCTGCTAAATATTTTAACAGCTACACAGCTAAATTATTTTGTAGCCCCCTGCACGTGCCCCACATCCTCAGTCCCTCCCCTAGAGCCCTCCTATCTCTTCGCAACCAGCAACTAAAAGGGAAACACCTGAGGGGCTGGCCCCGTGGCCGAGTGGTTAAGTTCATGCGCTCCGCTGCAGGCGGCCCAGTGTTTCGTTGGTTCGAATCCTGGGCGCGGACATGACACTGCTCATCAAACCACGCTGAGGCAGCGTCCCACATGCCACAACTAGAAGAACCCACAATGAAGAATATACAACTATGTACCGGGGGGGCTTTGGGGAGAAAAAGGAAAAAAAAAAAAAAAAAAACTTTAAAAAAAAAAAAGGGGGGAAACACCTGAGAGCAGAGGACCTCTAGGACCACGTGCTTATATTGTCAGTATCCATTCTGTTTGGACAGTGGCCCAACCAGTCAGTCCCTCAAAAGTTCTACCTCCTGGACACCTGCATAGGCTTGCCTGCAAAAACCCTAAAGGCCAGCCTCTGCTTCACCTGTGCCTCCTGCCCAGTCCCAGGAACTCCCATGTAGACGTCCTTTCCCCTCATAGCTCCTGTCCCCAGTTATCCCCCAGACAAGAGCAAGCCTGCCCATCACCAAGGGGGCTAATGCCCCCGGTGGCAGAAGTAGCACCCTGGACAGCAAATGCTCAATGCCCATATGAATTCTCCCAGTATACACCTCAGGCTGCACCACTCACTATGTCTAGCATTTCCCCAGATTGCTCTCAAGGGGCCAATTATGAGAACTGCAGCATTCTTAGGATGTTGGCTCTAAGAGAGCAGGATAGAGATGCAGAAAGAAGCAGATGGACTGTACAGGCGACTACTGCAGATGCATGCCAGGTGCTGAGGGTTCTGTCAACACTGCACACATTCCTGCCACAAGATGGAGGCCTCTGGGGACACCTGGGGATGGGTTAGGCTGGCAGATGCCCCTTGTTTTCTGTCTCTGTTGAATTTCATCTCCATTTATGAGATGAGTTTGTTTAAAGAACAAAATCTTTTTCTTATTTAAATATTATTTTATATTACTGGTTGGGATAATTATTTTTAATATCATCCCTTTATAGGCTCTACCATTAGGGTTGGAATACCTCATGGGCCTAAAGCATAGGCTTCAGAAAAACAGAGAAAGGCAGAGGGGTCAAAGTGCAATTAAAGAAGAGAAGAAAAAGAAGCATGCGCGTGTGTGTGTGCGTGTGCATGTGCGTGTGTGCATAGACGGCATCAACTACTGCCGTGTGTTCCAGCTAGGGGATAGATTGACCACACTGAGAGCAGTCCTTATCTTTTGTTATTATTTGAGGGTAAAATAGAATAAATTTCTAGGTCAATCATATAAAATCCCTTATAAAATTATAGAGTTCCTTATCCTTTTTCGTTTGACTTGAATTTTACCATATCTTACAGGAGATGGAAAGGTGTATAAGAAAAGATTACTAGCTGGTTTGAAGCCTTTCAGAGGTAAGAATTATGAGAACAGCAGCTAAAATTTATTGCACTTTGCATTTGCTTTGTAAAACTTCTGATTAGAATCTTGCTATTCCAGTATTCCACTGGCCTACTGATACTGAATTTATGCCTCATAACCTACCATTTTTCTTTGGGTATAACTACATTTGAGGAAGTCATTGTTAGTAATATGTACCAAGTTTGAAATTCTGATTTCATTTAGGTTGCTTATCTTTATCACAATTCATCAGACTTGTCTAATTCTTCTTTATCATCCATGATGACTTCAATTAAAAGTTACAGCACAGGGGCCGGCCTGATGGCACAGTGGTTAAGTGTGCACATTCCGCTTCAGCGGCTTGGGGTTCCCTGGTTCGGATCCCGGGCGCAGACATGGCACCGCTTATCAAGCCATGCTGTGGTAGGCGTCCGACGTATAAAGTAGAGGAAGATGGGCAGGGATGTTAGCTCAGGGCCAGTCTTCCTCAGCAAAAAGAGGAGGATTGGCAACAGTTAGCTAAGGGCTAATCTTCCTCAAAAAAAAAAAAAAAAGTTATAGCACAGTGTTGAGGGAGCATTTTCTCTTCTCAACTCCAACCCTGATTATCTGGGTTCACTTGAATGGCCAATGTTTCACTCTTCACTTAGGGTGGATGCATACTCAAAGCAAGCATCGTCTACTTCTTGGACTTACTTCTGTTTCTAATTTACATTCTCTTCTTTCCTAAGGAAAAAAAGTCCATGTCAATAACCTAGACACCCTCACAAAGAGCATGGGAATTCAGCTTGAGAAAGAAGATTGTGAGGACTTACTGAAACATCTGCCAGTTGATGGTAAATATTTCAGATACCATTGTACCTAGGGAGATCAGGGCTTCTATCTGAGCACTTCTGAAAGTACATTTATTTTTTAATCTCTTTAAATACTTATGAAATATTTCAAACATACATAAAAACAGAGAACAACATAACAAACACTGTGTATCCACTGGCTACCATTAACAGATGTTAGCATTTTGCCATATTTGCTTCATACATCTTCCTTCCTTACCTTCCATGTATACCTGTATACCATTTGTTTTATGAGATAAAGTTTCATTAATGACACATTAAGACCAATTTAGCTGGATAAAAATGTCAAAGAGGCAAAAATAGGATAATTCATTAGGAAGAAATTGCTAAGAGATGAGCCCAGCCTTCTTTAGAGGGCTCTTCGATTCAAACACAGAGTCAATGGCTCTGTTTAAAAACCTAAGGGGGCCAGCCCCAGTGGCCTAGTGGTTAAGTTTGACATGCTCCACTTCAGTGGCCTGGATTCGGTTCCTGGGCATGAACCTGCACTACCCATCTATCAGTGACCATGACTGTTATGACAGCAGCTCACATACAAAAAAAGAGGAAGATTGACAACAGATGTTACCTCAGGGCACATCTTCTTCAGCAAAAAGAGCAAGATTGGCAACAGCTATTAGCTCAGAGTGAATCTTCCTCAGCAAAAAAATAAATAAGTAAAAACCTGATGAAAAATAAGCTTCCATCAGCGAGCAAGACAGCACATCTTTCAGCAGAGCTAGCACCCACCAACCTAAAATGAACAAATCATTCTTCTCCCCTAATTCGGGGTTCCTCCTCAAGCAGTGATGGCAGGTGTAGCTAAGGTGGGCCACTGCTACCAGCAAACATCTTCTGTGCTACCCTTACTTGTACCTGGCCTTAACATATAAAACAGTCTAGCTCATAGTTGAAAATTTCACTCTCCCTGGGATTAACAATGTTGGTAATTATCCATCATTTTGTCAGGCCCCTTTTCCTATCATGAAAAAAGTCCCCATAAATTACTTTCTAATTGTGATATTGCCCCCACATTAGCTAGGGATCCTCATAATGCTTCCTACGGGAAAAGGTAGGGTTGAAGTATTTTTAGAACCCTGGATTAAAAAAAAAAAGACAGAATAATTTTTTCTAATCCAACAGTGTGTCTATTTCTGTACCACTGGAATTCTCTCATTTAGCTAACACAGACTATATGCGAACTATGTAAACTAGAGAGTGGAACAATTTTTACCTGGTAGTATAAAGAAATAAGGCATCATCCCTGTTCTCAAATAGTTATGGTCCTGAGGGGTGGGGGGAGGGGAATGTAAGCAAAATTGAGAGCGTGGAAAGATGGCATCCTGTTACAGTTTAAGGGTCAGCTGTATACGTGAATAAGTGACTTCTAGGTTTCAAATTCAATCTTGTCTATTGAAATATGTTTCCCTTATTGGGTCTGAAGGAAGGGAGAGGCCTGTTAGAAAGGACTGCTATTAAAGTTGCTTCATCTCTATGTTTAGGGTCACTGATACTTTACAGAAAGTGGTATTAATTAAATGGATGTTGACTTTAACATTTTGATCTTTTTCTTTCCTCTGTTTCTTGCTTATTTTGAGTTAAAAGAATTACTAAAGAAAATTATGAAAAACAGCTGAGTTCTAACCCTTTATATTACTAGTTTAATTTTTCGTATCATTTTTATAAGTCTAAGATTTGGTCTCTGTGCCTGAATCATCTTTTCTTACAGAGAATGAAATGGTTGATTTGAATGTGGTGATGGATGATGCAAAAGCTTTTACAGGTAAGTAAGAGGTTGTGGTGAAAGGGAATTCATTATTAAGACCCTGTAATTCATTATAACTAAGCATTATAGAAAAAAAATAAGATATTTTTAAACAGTAGTTTTCTGTTTGGGCTATTACATGCTAAGTTGACTCCCTACAAATTTAATGGTTAAATGTTTGTTTTATATTCTTATTGTTTGATTTGGGATTTTTCCTGTATAGACCTATATTATGTGGAGTTTTGACCAATAATGTTTTCCACTTCACCATTGTTTAAACAACCAAAATATAGGTCAATGCTTTTCAATCTCAAGGTGAGGCTTTTGTAGGATAGCCAGGAAATATGGTTACTGTGTCAAAAGACCCAATAATTCAGGAAATATAATGGCATTTGACTTGTATTGGAATTATATAAGCTCTCCTTTTGCTTGAATTAAAAGTATAAATTCTATTTCTGACTTAATCCATACACACCCACATGTCCTTTGCATCTACATAGTTTAACAAGTTGCATTGTCAATTTGCTCTTCTAATTAAGGATGTTGCCACAAAGGTAATCTTTTCCACAATTTGCAATCATTCGTCCATTTCTAAAGTTCTTACGTTAACACTTCTCATCTTTCCAAAGGAGAGAAGATTGATGTCAGTAATCTGGACAATGAGCTGAGGAAACTGGGGCTAGTACTCACTGATAAGGAGAATAAGGAGCTGCTGAAAATTCTACCAGTTCACAGTGAGTATTTAGCACATCCTTTGAAGTCTGGATTTATGGGCTTGTGTGTGAAAACCACTGAAATCATATATGTGTATGTCCAATAAACCATGTTTAGAAAATACAATTCTCACATAAGAAGAAATCCTGTTCTTGTCGCTTACATTTTAATACTGAACATTGGCAACATCTTTCATTCGTCCCTCACCATCAAGGCTAAATTATCCTGTCACCCTGGGAGCACTGCCTAATCTAAATCATGACCAAGGAGAAGAGGGAAATCAGGGGAGTACAAGAAGGAAGGAAAAGGGGAGAAACGGAAATAGAGACTGTTTCCAATTCAACCAATAGGTAGATTTACATCAGTGAAAGCTTTCTTCATCTTTGGTTTCATTCTTATTTGCGGGTAAAAAGAATAAACTTCTAAACAAATCTGAAGGTTTTTTTCCCTCAGAAATTATAGATGTTGTATTATCTTTGTGCTGTCTTTGTTAATCTTCCCATCATCTAACCCATCTTCTTAATTATGTCTTACATTACAGCCAATGGCAAAGTGTATAAGAATAGATTGCTAAAATGTGTGAAGGCCCTCAATGGTGAGTGAGCAGCATGGTGAAAGAGCAAGTAAAAATAAAATCCTTATGATTAGCATTTTCTTTTTAATGGTCCAACTTTGCTTCATGACCCCTTGTTATAACTCATAAGTAACCATTCTTCTTTGAGTGCATCGGCCTTTTGGGATATAAGTTGAAGTATCATATTACTGTAGGAAGTTTCTAACGCTGTTTTCTAGCTAGAACTGCGTAGATTGGTGGTTGTTTCAACCATGAGTCATTAGACTTGCCTATTCTTCTCTATTGACCTCTCATAGAAAACTGAAACAGAGTCCCCTGGATAGGTATTGAGGAAAATATCCTATTTTCGCTTTCTATACTAATTCTGTGTAAACAATTATATTTTAATTTTTAATTAGAAAAATATTTTTAAAGACAAAATACTACAAGAAAATTATCCAATTCTACCACTTAAAAAACTGATATAAAGAACTGAAAGTCAAATCATAGGTATGTAATGTACAGCATGGTGGCTATAATTAATAATACCATATTGTATATTGAAAGTTACTAAGAGAGTAGATCTTACAAGTTTTCACCACAAGAAAAAAAATTGTAACTATGTGTGGTAATGGATGTTAACTAGATTTACTGTGATGATCATTTTGCAATATATATAAATATTAAACCATTATGTTATACACCTGAAACTAGTATAATGTTATCTGTCAATTATACCTCAATAAAAAAAAGTGAAAGACCTCCCCCCCAACCTCCCACCAATATAATCCCTCCTCATAAAGGTAAATACTGTTTAGCGTTTACCTTTGTCTCAATGGTTATCTTTCTCAATTTTTTCCTACTTTCAACAGACATATCTAATTATAGGGAGATATATATGTTAATAGTTTCTTTATGCCCTTGTGCTTTACCCTCTAATTGCAGTTTATGTTGCATGACCATGATTAGCATTTTTTCACTCTTAAGTATCAATGCTTATATTCTTATTTCATGCCTTTCTTTCTTAAGGACCAAGAGTCAAAGTCAAAAAAGTGGAAACCCTTGTGGAAAACATGGGAATTAGACTCAAGCGTAAGGAACTTGAGGAACTAATGACCCAACTGTCAATTGATGGTGAGTGATACAGACATCAGTATGCCCTTCAGAGAAACATTGAGCCCTTCTATTAGAACGGCTGAATGTAGCCTTTTTAGTATCACAATTAAGTAAATGTAAATAGAAAGATTTAATCCTGACTTATGAAGAAATACTCTCTCCAAAAAAGCTTTTTAAAAGATATGTTGGGGATGCCTTGCGGGACTCAGCCAGGCCTGGGAATGCCACACACTTAAGAAGCTGAAAGAAAAATGAATTTTTTTACTCCATTCATAAGGGAACATTTAACAGAAAAATTAAGAAAGTCAAAAGTCAAATGATGAACTAGGAGAGGATGGTTGCAAGAAAAAGAGTTAATACCTCTAAGGTGGAAAAACCCTAGTACATTGATAAATAACATACTGAGAATATATGTATATAGAATATACAAATAGATAATTCATAAAAGAGGAAATGTAAATGCCCAACAATATATGAAAAGGTATTTAACGTCACCAATAATCATGAAAATATAAAACAAAACAAGATACAGAACTATTTTCACTCATCAGACAGGCAAATATTAACAAGATTGAGGACATTTAGTTCTGATGAGTGTGTGGGAAAAAGGACTCACTGATACGTTTTAGGTGAGAGTTGCTATATATCCTCTTTGAAAAGTCATTTGGCATTACATATGAAAGAAAAAAAACTTCCCTTTTTCCTAGCCAAATCCCTCATCTGTTGTATATAACATTTCTTTGTGCTGAGGCAAGTTAGCTCTTCCACTAACTTGCTGACAAATAATTTAACTCTACTGAACCTGAGTGTCTTCATATGTAAAATGGAGAGTTGAACTAAATAATTCTCTATGGTCACTTCTTGCTCTGGAATTAATGCATATAATACATGTGAAGTATTTAATGCAGTATCTTGAAAACCCAGTGAACAGTCATGATGATGGTGGTAGTGTTAAAGATCTTATGGAAGATGGAGAAGATGTTGAGGAAGAACAAAAGGAAGAAGAAAAGGAAATTCTGTGATCTAGGAATCAATTTGGCCTGCTATACAAATGTAAGTCCTGGACTGGCCCAGTGGCGCAGTGGTTAAGTGTGCACATTCCGCGTCAGCGGCCTGGGGTCCACCGGTTCAGATCCCGGGTGCGGACATGGCACCACTCATCAAGCCATGCTGTGGCAGGCGTCCCACATATAAAGTAGAGGAAGATGGGCACGAATGTGAGCTCAGAGCTGGTCTTCCTCAGCAAAAAAAGAGGAGGATTGGCAGCAGATGTTAGCTCAGGGCTGATCTTCCTCAAAAAAAAAACATATATATATGTATATATATATATATGAGTCCTAATAGAGTAAATATTTGTTTGCCAATTATGACCTTTACATAAATAAATAAGGTAAGTTGCAACATAGAGTTTTACAAGAAATAGCACGGGGATCACTGTCTTCCTTCTCTGCTACTCCTGTCCTTACTCTTGGGAACTTCAAAATCTTTTTTACTGTGCCAAAGACCTCTTGACAGTCTGATGAATGGACCACTTCTGAGGATAATATTTTTAAATGCTTAAAATGAAATACATAAGATTACAAAGAAACCAATTTTACTAAAATACAATTTATCAAAACATTAAAGGTATAAATTATTAGCACTTACATTTAATAAGTTCTAGTAGCAAGTCTAATAATTATTGTAATTTTAAAGTAGTAGTGAGCATAAGCAACTTTTTAATATATTTGCAGTAACTATCATGTGATATGAAAATGTCAGTGATTTACATTAGTAACAAAGTCACAGGTTCTGCTACTACTACTACTACTATGGTTTGTTGCCTACATTACTAATTGAAGAAAATGCTAAATTTAGGTTAGTGGTTAGTGAAAATAAAGATGTATTTTTTTCCCATTCAAGCTCAAGGACTCCGTTAATTCTATCAATACAGAGTCCATGGACCCCAGCTCAAGAATCCCTGATATGGATTACCCATCCAACACCCTCACCTCCTGTTCCTTGGCCTCTTTAACCTCACTCATCTTTACCTCTTCTCACCTTAACTACCACTCACATGGTCATAACCTAGACCTTGTCCTCACCTAATACATCACCCTCAAAATCTGTTTCATTTCCCTACTTTCTGACCTTTATCCTTCCACTTCATTTACTATGCAGATATTTCTGTCATAAGACAATGTAGGAATGCCTGAGAAGCCTCCCATTCTGTAAAATTGCCCAGTAAAGTAACTAAACTTATGGGGAAAATTGAGGAAGCTCACTCCAAATCTATGCCACTTTGTAACCAGAACACTAACAAAAGCAGCAACCTGATACTGTATGAGGAAGCGTGGACAGCTCAGGTAAATAGCTCAGAGTGGCTGAAAGCTATTAAAAAATGCACACACACACACACACACACACACACACACACACACCCATAAAACAGTTCAAAAGCTGGCTTACAGCTCTGAAATAATGTAGATGGCAGTAGAATTCTGAGCCAGTGAACCTGCTTCCCCTTCCTGCATCACAGGCACTTATTTTTTAATTTTGTTGAAATAGAGCTGAAAGAGCCCCTGCTGTAGCCAACCGAGGATTTTTTATTTTCCTGTTGAAGTTTATAATTCTAATTCTCTTACTTAAGAAAAATTATATATGAAGCAACACACTTCCACATTACTGTGACATTATGCCATTTACCAAGTGAATATGATAAATTGTTGCAGTTGAACATGTGCTGTAGCAGAAGAGAGTGTGGAACTCCCAACTCCAGCTGCTCTCCAGCCACTGGAGAGTAACTTTAACTCTATTCTTTCATCATTCAACAACTCCTCCCTCCTAGGTCTTCATTTTCTTCCTTAAATTAGATTCAATGCTTCAACATCATAGAACCTTACAAAACTCTCAGAATTCCTATCAAACTTGCTTGGCAAAAACCCAGCCATCTCCTTACTCCATGCTTGCCCCTGAACAGCTTAACATTGCTGAAGAAAACTATACTAATAGAACTCACTTCCACATAATGGCCATGAATTTCAAGTCAGCCTTTACTACTGCCAAAGAAGGCCCTACTACATTTCCCAAGTAAATTGACTTTCTCGCTCTCAGAGACAATTTCTCAGACTTAACTTCTGCAATTTTTCCCTTTCTCTCCTGCATCATCAATTTCTTCCTCTCTACTGTATCTCTCTCTATATTATACTGACATGCGGATAGACGCTTGTCTATTCCTCTTGTCCCCTGCCAGCTAACACTCGATCTCTTAGTTCCTCCTCACAGCAGAACCTCTCAAAAAGTTGTCATTACTCTTTGTTTCCACTTCCTCACCTCCCATTCACTCGTCGGCGCTCCCTTCCCTGCCACAGACCTCTCTCTTGCCAAGTTTCATGTTGGATCATCTGTTATTTTACTTGATATCTCAGCAGCATTTCACATAGTGACTACCCCCACTTTACTGGAATTTTTTTCCTCCAGACTTTGAAGTCCCATACCCAGCTGATTTTATTCTTTCCTCACTAACAGCTTCTTCTCAGTTTCCTTTTCTGACTCTTCCTCCTTTGCAAGATCTCTAAATAATGAAGCACTCCAGGGTTAGACTCCTGGCTGTCTTTTTTATCTACACCCTCTTCCTAGGAGATTGCATTCAGTCTCACTGGATCAGATACTTTCTTTAAGCTTATAAAAGCAAATTTATATCTCAGCTCAATCTCCCTAAGTCAGGAAACTAGCTATTTGATCAAACTAGCTATTTGATATCAGACTATTTGATATCTCCAGTTGGATGTCCAAAATTTAATGGAATTGTTGATTAATTCCCCTAAAAAGGTTCAAGCCCCCACCATCTCAGTAATGGCATCCCATCCACCCTGTTGATTGGGGGAGATGACTAGGGGAAGAACCTAGATTTCTTCCTTGATTTCTCCTTCTCCTCATATCTCACATTCAAATCTAGGCCCTATCTGAAAATCATGTCCTGAATCCATCCACTTATCACCGTCTCCACTGCTGCAACCGTAGCCCAAGCCACCATCCTCTCTCTTCTGGGCCCCTGAAACAGTCTCCTGTCTAGTCCCCCTTCCTCCAGTTTCCCTACCCTGCACACAGCAGCCAAGGTGATCCTTTGAAAGCTGAAATCAGGTCAAATTACTCCCCTTCTTCAAGGCCTCCAATGACATTCCCTTGCAACCAGAATAAAACCCAAACTTTATCATCATGGCCTACAAGGCCCTGCATGATTTGTCCCGTCACACTGGCCTTCTCTCTGTTTCTCAGTCATGTCAAATTCATTCCCATCTTAGGGCTATTTCACATACCAGCTTTCTTTTCTTTTTTTAAAGTATATTTTTTGATGAGGAAGATTGGCCTTGAGCTAACATCTGTTGCCAATCTTCCCCTTTTTTCCTCCCCAAAGCCCCAGTACGTAGTTGTGTATCCTAGTTGTAAGTCATTCTGGTTCCTCTATGTGGGATGCTGCCTCAGCATTGCTTGATGAGCAGTGTGTAGGTCTTCGCCCAGGATCCAAACCAGCCAACACCAGGCCACTGAAGCGGAGCTTGCTAACTTAACCACCCAGCTATGGGGCCAGCCCCACATACCAGTTTTCTACTTGCAATATTCTTCCTTCAATTCTTGCATGGCTATCCTCTTCTCATCGTTCCGGCACCAACCCAAAAACACTCTCTCAGAGGGGCCTTTCTTGACCTTCTGTCTAAAGCAGTCACGCCCACTATTCCTGTTTATTATATTGCCTTATTTTATTTTTGATAGCATCTTAGCAGTACCTCAAATGGTCCTTTTTGTTTATTTGTTTACATCTTTATTATCTGTTTCCCTCTACTCGATTGTACACTCTCTGATAGCAAGAACTCTGCCAGCTTGTTTACTTTTGTTTCCCGAAAGCCTAGCAAAGTGCCTGGCACATAGAAGATATTCCATAAATATTTGGTGATTAACTGACTAAATAAAAATACTTAGGGTCAGGTTCATTTGTCCCATCTCCCTACACTTACCTGTAACCAATCACTTCTTAATCTTACTCTGGTGGTCTCTAAAACAAGGCCTTTAAAAGAAGATAGAAGAATGATTCATTATAGATTAAAAGCTGTCTTTGTTTCCAAGATAACACTATTATCTCTGAGGATAAATCCATAAAATTCTAAGGGAAATTAGAAAAAAGATTACTGAATTCTTTTGGTCTTCATAATTTCGGAACTTTATGCATTGTAAATTTTTTGGGTCTTACTAACATCAGCTTATCTGATTCCGAAGTTTATTTCTCTTGCCTTGCAGATGATAGAACAGTTGGTCTGAATGATTTGATGGATGCTGTCAGTTATATCAAGGGTGAGTTGCAAGCTATGATGAAAATTGTTATAAATAGCATCTTAATACTTTGCAATTGGTGGAGAAAAATATTTCCCCTTCATAAATGTATAAATTCTTTCATATTATACATGTTCTACTTTTTCGGATGCTGCTGAACTGGGGTAAACAATACTTAATCTGTGTTTTTATATCAAGACCCATAATATTCCCTGAAATTTTCCCCAAAAGAATTCTTCAACATAATAATCAATAATATCAAGAGCCACAGAACTCTTCCTTTTCTCCACTAACCCCACTCATAGTAATTTATCCTCTGGAAATAATTTAATTGAATAAAAGAAAAAAATCTCTGCCTAAAGACCTTCAGAGAAATTTGAAACAGCCTAAATATCTAACAATATGGGAATTACTACATAAACCATGGTATGTCAGCCTAATGGGATACCCTGTGTTGAAATACTAACCATGAAGATTGTGTGGCAACTTGGAAACATGTTCATAAAGTAATAACATTAGTTGAGAAAAGTAGAATACAGAATTGCATGTATATTAGATTTCCACATTATAAAACTAGAGTCTTACTGTCAAAGACCAGAAATGGAATATGAAAAACTAAAAATGGTTTTTGTGGTAGAGTGGTGGAATTATATTCTTCCCTTTTTATATTAATCTTTAATGTTGTTACATTATTTTTACAATGAATGAGGAAAAACTACTTCTGACTGTGTTGGGATGAATAAAATTCTTGGAAGGCATAGTGACTGGAGAAGCAAACTACAGGCAAATATTTTTTATTTATTTTTTTGAAGGGAAAGATTCGCCCTGAGCTAAAATCTGTTTCCAATCTCCCACTTTTTTTTTCAATTTTTTAATTTTTTTCCCTCCCCAGAGCCCCAGTGCATGGTTGTACATCCTAATTCTAAGTCGTTCTGGTACTTTCTATGTGAGCTGCTGCCACAGCATGGCAACTGACAGACAGGTGGTGTGGTTCCACGACCAGGAAGCAAACCTGGGCCACCGAAGTAGTGAGCACTGAACTTTAACCACTAGGCCTGGCTCACAAATATTTTTTAAATAAATAAAAATAAAAATTTAAAAACTAGTCTATAAAAAAAAATCTGAATTTTCAGGTGGTGTAGGAGGAAGAAAAAAAATAAAACCAAATCCCTACCTGTAGCTTAATTTGTTATGGATTTTGCAATAACCCACTGGTCAATTCCTAACCCATGGTGTACTTTCTTCTTTTTTAGCCACCTTCTGACCCTGAACCAGAATTAAAGGCACAGGACTTTTTTCTTACCCTCCTGTTAATTCTGGGTGTATGTGGGCAATGGTATATATAAGACCAGATAGTGTTTTTCATCCTTTGTAGATAGTTCTATAATATTTTTTGCAATTTATTTCTCCCCTTTTCTAAGGAGAGGTAATTGAAATCCAGGACTTAGACAACTTTCTAGCAAGTGAAGGGTTTGAGCTCACAAAAGAAGAAATGAAGGAGCTGATGCCTCATTTGACATTTACTGGTGAGGTTTTTAAACATTCTGTTGTCTTCCTTGAAGTGTGTCTTTGTTGTCTTGTATATAAGATCCTCTGAAATGATCCTTTGTATCACCTAGAACAATGCTCCTCAAACTTGAATGTGCATATGAATCACCTGCACATCTTGTTAAAATGCAGATTGTATTCAGGTCTGGGATGGAGCCTGAGAGATTCCATTCATTTCTAACAAGCTCCTAGATGATGCCAATGCTGCTGGTCCATCTTTGCCTATCAAGGACCTAAAAGATGAAGAAATGATCTGTTAAAGTTGTACCTGACCTTTCATTTCTTAAGTCACAAGTACAACCAATATGTTAATTTGTGCCTGACGGCATGATTCTAGCCCAAAAATAAGAAGGAAAAATATTAGAGTAATTGAAATTAGAAAGTAAAAACGAGTATTAGGGAGAGACACACAGGAAGCAGGAGGAGTTGGGGGTTGATTGATTGATTTGTTTGCTTATTGAGATTTTTATTATTGCTTATTGAGTCTGGTTACATGACTTACCTGCTGGCTTTTGTGTTATACAAGTACTTTAGATTAGTCTTTTTTATTTCTACTACTTTCTTTGTTGTTCTGATACAAAAAACAAAAAACATGATCTAGGAGCATTTGGGGAGTAGCACTTCTTACTATAATGCTTCAGTGATGTTGCTAGATAGCTTCTGTGCAGTTCTGGCCTTGAATTTAAAAACTGTATATTGATTTATTCAACCAACAAATATTTATTGATCATTGAATATGACCAGGCACTATTCTAGGTACTAGGAATAGAAGAATGAAGAAGGGAGCACATATTTGGATTTCTCTAAGCCCAACTGAAAGTAGGAAATAAAACACTGCACCATTATGTTTCTAAAATCATGGTTTTAAAATTTTAAAACCTATTCATTGCAAACATCTCTATCTTCTATTCTCTCCAGTTTATCATTTCTTCCTATTCACCCATACTCTATTCCTCTCCTCTCTTTAGTTGAAGAGATTCTTTCCAAACCTTCTAAATCCATTGTTCTTGAGCTGATCATCTCCTACTTTTTCAAGAATTATTTTAATTGAGATGTAATTAACATATATTAGTGTCAGGTGTAATAATGATTTGATATTGGTATAAAAATTATTTTTCATAATTCCTTTCTGACACATTCAATTCCATCTATTATTCTCTACTCTGCTATAAAGAAGCACATACTTCTCCACTCCTTTTAAAAACTAACCTTCACTTGGCTCTTCTGCCTTTCTTTTTGTGTGTGTGCTGAGGAAGATTCGCCCTGAGCTAACATCTGTGCCAATCTTCCTCTATTTTGTATGTGAGTTGCTGCCACAGCGTGGCCACCAACAAGTGGTCTAGGTCCGTGCCTGGGAACTGAACCTGGGTCCCTGAAGTGGAGTGCACCAAACTTAACCACTAAGTGACAGGTCTGGCCCTTCTTCTGCCTTCTAATTATGATCATCCATCCCTCATTTCTCTCTCAGCCCCCTTTTTAATTGGTCCATAGGTGTTGATTCTGCTTCCTCACTCTATATTCTCTCTTTGAATCCTTGCAATTTACTTCCCTACTCACATAGTCCCCAGTTCCACTGAAACAGTTCTCAGAATCAGAAATCACCAATGATTTCCTTTGCCAGCCTCACTTATTCTAGCTCCCTAATGTGGGAACAATCCAAGGTTTATTTCTCAGTCTTCTCAGTTTTAATTCCTTCCCTCCCTTGTTTATATCACTGCTTCAGCTATCAACTCTCCATGGTAGCAGTTCTCAAATCATAGTCCAGTGATGCCTCTCTCTTTCAGGAAGTCCCTCAGATCCAAATTATTATTAAAATAACACTAAGACATTATTTTCCTTTATCACTCTCATTCACTCACAAATGTACAGTAGCATTTTTCATAAGCTACATGACATAGCCACACATGACATGTCTGAAAAAGCTATTAAAATATTTCTTTTCCAACTACATAACTCTATGAGGCCAGATTTTCTTCAACCGAAAAAACATATCACAGTAAATTGAATGCAGAAACAGACTGAGGATAGCAGCTGTATTCTATTAAGCCAGACATTAAAGAGATTTGCAAAAATGTAAAACAATGCTGTCTTAGCTCGAGCTGCTATCATAGAAATACCAAAGACTGGGTGGCTTATAAATAACAGAAATTTATTTCTCAAGCTCTGGAGGCTGGAAGTCCAAGGTCAGGGTGCCAGCAGGTTTGAGTTCTGGTGAAAGCCCCCTTCTGGGCTGCAGCTTGTCAACCTTCCACTGTATCCTCACATGGTGGAGAACAGAGAGCATCTAGCTGCAGACTTTCTCCTGGCTCATAAGGCACTAATCCCATCATGGGGCTCCGCCCTGCAACTTCATCTAATCCTAATCACCTCCCAAAGGCCCCACCTCCTGATAGCACCACATTGGGAATAGGATTGCAGCATAATGAATTTTGAGGGGACACAAACATTCAGCCAATAATACTACTTTTCCCACTAAATTTTTCTGGAAAATTGATTTATATTTTTCATTTTCAATTGATACATATTTTTCATTAAAAAGTATATTAACATGTACTGGGTTTATTATTGCTATCTTAAAATGAATTAATAAATATCTTTTAAATTTCTGAATTTTAATCTCTGATATGGTAATTATCCATAGCTATAACCCAAATAAACCTCTTGGAGGGCCTCAAAAATTTTTAAGAATGTAAAGAAATCTTGAGACCAAAATGTTTGAGAACCTTTGCTTTCTGGATTATTCTTTGTCACTTCTGTGTTTCCTGCTGCCTGCTAGATATTTCTTCCTTAACTTTTTTTGCAGAAGAGTGAACTTTTCCTTAAACATCAGATGCACACAGTTGAGTTATCAAACTCCTCATTTATGGCACACTATCATCAATGGTCCATGCAAAGACCCTTTGTTTTTATTTTATTATTTTCACTTTTACTTCCTATTTCCACTCCTATATCCTTCCTCCCTTTATAGGTACCTTCTCTATTATGTCTAATATATGTCCTTCCAACCCACCTTCCTCATGTTTATTTAGATATATGTGTATCCCTTTAAAAATTCAATGTGCGTGATATTTAATTTACTTAAATGGTATTGTGCTATAAAACTCATTCTATTTTTTTCACTCAACATTATTTTTTAACAGCTTTATTGAAATATAGTTCAAGTACCATATAGTTCATCCATTTAAAGTGTACAGTTCAATGGTTTTTAGTATTCACAGATATGTGCAACCATCACCACAGTCATTCTAGAACATTTTCATCAGCTGAAAAAGAAACCCAGTACCCTTTAGCTATCACTCCCTATCCCCCCAGCCCTAAGAAATCATTAATCTATACTCTGTGTCTATAGCTTTGGCTTTTCTGGACATTTCATATAAATGGAATCATACAGTATTTGATCTGTTGTGATTGGCTTCTCTCGGCATGTTTTCAAGATTCACCCATATTGCAGCATGTATCAGTACTTCATTCCTTTTAATGGCCAAACAATACTCTGTTGTATGGATATATCACATTTTGTTTATTCATTCATCAGTTGATGGTCATTTGGATTGTTTCCACCTTTTGCTATTAGGAATAACACTGCTATAAACATTTGTTTGCAACTTTTTGTGTGGACATATGTTTTCATTTCTCTTGGGTATGTACCTAGGGGTGGAATTGCTAGGTCATACGGTAACTCTATGTTTAACCATTTGAGGAACTGCCAGAATTTCCCAAAGTGGCTGCATCATTTTGCATCCCCAATGTATAAAGGTTCTGATTTCTCCACATCCTCAGCAACACTTGTTACTATCTGACTTTTTTTTTAAAGATTTTATTTTTCCTTTTTCTCCCAAAGCCCCCCAGAACATAGTTGTGTGTTTTTAGTTGTGGGTCCTTGTAGTTGTGGCATGTGGGACACTGCCTCAGCATGGCTTGATGAGCAGTGCCATGTCCACACCCAGGGTCCAAACCGGCGAAACCCTGGGCCGCTGAAGCAGAAGGCATAAACTTAACTACTCGGCCACGGGGCGGCTCCACTATCTGATTTTTGATTCTAGCCATCCTAGTGGGTGTGAATCAATGCTATGTTTTTGAGATTTACCCATGTTTCTATAAATCAATCTAATTCTGGTTGCTACATAGTAACCCTTCAATTCAATTACCATAATTTACCTATCCACTGCCCCAGTGATGGACATCAAAGTTGCCAATATTTCATTTTCTTATTCTACTACTACTCCTACTAACTATATGGTTTTATCTTTCACCTTTAGGTCTTTAATCCCTCTGCACATCACCTCTGTGCATGGTGAGATAGGGATCTAACTTGTTTCTTCATATAGCAAACAATTTTCCCAACACTGAACTGATCTGTGATACTACCATGTGGGGAAACCCAGCATCTCTCTAATATCTAGGGACCCTTGTGTAGGTTAGGCAGAACATACATTTCTCCTACCAATGGTTCCGATTTTCTACTTTGAATCACCCGTCTCTGCTTTGCATTCCTTCTGCTATGCTGCTGTCATTTTATATTCTGTTACTCCACTGGACACTGCCTAATTCCATCATTTCTCAACTCAAGTCTGGGTGGGTAGCTTATTTTACTGAATTGCTTAAATTTGAATAATAGATGCGCTTATTCTTATAGGTTTTGCCACCATTCCTACCTTAGGAGAATTTTCATTTTTGTTTCTGTTCCTCAAGTTCCAGCCTCCCACTTTGTGGCTGGGAGGCAACATTAGAGAGAAATACGTTCACAGTTTTGGAGAGAGGTAGGGAGAAAGAGATGTATGCTGTTAGTCTCGAAATAAAAGTGTGTAATATTTTATAGAATTAAAAAATTACTTCCTTATCAGAATTCTTAAGAGTGCCACCCAGGGTTCCCTTCTGCCCCTTATCCTACTTGGTTTCATCATAGAAGAAACATTCTGTCCCACCTGTCTCACAGCTGCTCTTCTTCTCGCTTGCTCTATACTCCTTTCTCTTGCAAGTGTTATTCTGGCCTAGATATGTATTTAAATCTCTGGGTTTCTCATGCATTTACATTAACTTCTCAAGTATCAACCACTCTCTTCCTATTTTTCTGGTCCTGGTCCCATCAGTATCTTCTAGTACTCAGACTGATCCCCCTTTGCTCTCTTCCTTAGGTCAAACTTATACTATCTCCCAATAAATTGTTTAAGTCATTAAAGGAAGACATCCTGTGTGTTAGGCTCTGTGCCAAGTGCTAAGGACACAAAAATGAATGAGTCACAGCCCTTGTCCTCAAAGAGCTTATGGTCCAACAGAGGAGGTGGGCACATAAACAAAATAATTTTGATATAATGTGATAAATGTATGCAGAAGGTGCTAAGCGAGCATTTAGCCAAGACTGGGGTTTCCTGGAGAAGACCCAAAGCTGAACAGGTATGGGAAGATCGTCATTCTCTGCATCCTCAGCAGTGACAAGCATACCACCTCAAATGCATTGGTTCTCAAGAAATGCTTGTTAGAACCAAAAACAGAACAAGTCCTTCTCTCCCTATTCCAACTCTGAGCATTTGCCAACATAGTCTCTTCATATCTTTTTTTTTTTCATGTCATTGATCTGATTTTGGAAAAGATGCTGCAGATTTGAGTCCTGGTTCTTTTTGTAATATCCCTTTCCCATGTGTCACTTTTGGAGTGAAACACAGAAAAGAAGAACTGCATTAAAGAAGTAGAGAGATTTGTCTGACCGAAAGATCTATTCTTTCTTCCATCATACTAACCTGAGAGAAAAATGAACCCGATTCCAAAGGAAACCAGTGTCTCCAGTTCTTCTAACTCATGGAAGAAATTCTAGCCTGCCATGCCATTTTAATAATTTCACAACTTTCATCAATTTTTATGAGTTCTTATGTGATTGCCTCTGTACCTGACTCGAAATGTTTTGCAGGAAATGGAAAGGTTAAAGTGCATTCAATAATGGAGGGCCTAAAGAACTTTAAACGTGAGTCAACATTTTTGATACAATATAAAATTGATAATCTATGTATTTATTTTTATGTGTTTTCTTGGTTATAAAAGTAATACATGTTCATTATAGAAAATTTCTATATTCAAAAAATGAAAGAATGGAAAAGAAAAATGTTAATAATTCTTAATTCTATAACCCAATGATTATCTAGAATTTTATCACCCACAGTTTTTTTCCTTATGCATACACAATTTTTGTTCATTTAGCTGTAAAGTCCCATTTTCAAGGTACTTTTCCATTTTCTTAGTAATATTAAAATCTTACCTATTGATAGGTATTTCTAATGACCTAAAATTCCTTTTTGGATGCCTCTGAAATTTAATACATAATCTCAGCCCTTTTTGTTTGCAGCCCTCTTATCACACTTACATCTAAAATAAGTTTCCCAGTGCCAAACTGCTATGTTCTATACTTAAAATAGAAAAGAATGATTGGAAGGTTTGAAAATTATGCTGTGAAAATGATCAGTAGAGGCAAGATAAAACTTGTCCTCTTCCCACACACACAACAACCTCAATCTGTACTTCATTCTTAAGTCATTTTGATTTGCTCTCTGCACCAGCATTTTTCAACAAGTACGATAAAAAAAAATTGATGTGTCATTGCAAGCCTGATTGTGTTTCAAAAAGAAGAACTTAAGGGAAAAAAAGAATAATTTAAGGTACTTTATGCAAGTATCTACAAAATGAATCTTAATAAGAGAAGATAAATTTAAATTATGGGTACCCACACTTAACGTTTCTGAGTGAGTTCTGTTGTATTTTATTATTTGTAAAAGAAAAAAGATCTCTTTAAATAGATCCATTCTATTGCTGCTTCTGTTGCTGGTACCTGAAAACTTTCAGAAATATCTGCTTGCTTTTAACCCCAGCATTTAAAATCATGCTGCTGAATTTAAGGATACTGGAAGATCAGTGCTCATCAGCATGCGTTTATTGAGTACCCAGGCATTGTAAAAAGAAAAAAATTCAACAATGAAAAAGAGACAAGCAAAGTTCCTGCTCTCAGCAAGGCTTAGTTTTTGAGTACACAGTATGTGCTCAATAAATGCTTATTGCTTGACTAAGAGGTTCTAGTCTCCTGCTTTCAGATAATTCAAGCAGCCATACTGAGGTCATTCTTGAGATAACCCCCCAAGTCTGGGCCACTCAGAAGAAACAGTGATGTAAAACTAGTGACCCCAGAGCGCATAAGTGAGTGACTCAAATCAGAATGGATTGTCAGAAATCATTTACAGTGCTGAGGAAGCGCAGTTCCACAGTCCTCTCTGCTTATTTTCCCATCATTCCTCTTTCTCCTTTTCCATTTCTTCTTTTTCTCTATTTTTATCTTCTCCAAACTTCTATTAATAGATTATTTTTCTTTCACTGCTGCTCCCCCTTGTTTTCCTGGTGGTGTTGCTTTTTTGTTTTTTCTTTTCCTTCCAGCCTCTATCAAACATGCATTTCACCTGCCTACCCTGTTCACCCACTTGTTTTCCTCACTATCCAAGCCCTACTCCACTTGCTGCCACCAAAGTATATTTTATTCTGTGAAGTTCACAGTGCATTAAAGAAAATTTAAACATTTAAAAGTATGTTTCATAATTTTAAAAATTTTCAAACAGTTGTGTCTATTCCATAAATTCACCAAATAATACTCAATTTCCACTTAAGTTTTCTTTATAGATATAGGTGTTAAGGGAACAAATTTTATTTCTGAATTCTGTATGGACATTTTTTCATGCATCCAAAGATGTACTACTATGATTTAAGTTTTCACACTCAAATTTCAGATGACTAAACATAGTCATTCTTTAGACAATGACATTTTTCACACTTAATTATCTTTTTTCCCCACTTAATTATCTTTTTTCCCCAATTTGCATTTCACCATTTCTATTTTCCTAAGGAATAAAGGTGGATTTCAGTTACCTACGCACAATAACATGAAAATAACACTTCTATATTAGCAACTTCAAGACCTGCTAATATTTATGTCATTTGATGATGAACATTCAAAATTCCGCTCTGGCCTTCGATGGTACTTGGGTTGTGGGGTTCTATGTCAGAATTTCTAAAACCACACTTATTAATGATACAGAGAAACTCTAATATACATTTATAAAAACCTACCATGTAAAAATAAAGTCTGCCACTTGTCAGGAAAAGAAATTTTCCAAGTCACATTCCAGACCAGAGTGGGGTCACATGCAGTATCCAAGAATGGCCTAGGATGCCTCCAGCCAACTAATGTCTAGGCAGGGGGAAGAGCCAAGCAATAGGGAAGAGGAAAAGAATGACAGAGAGAGAGGACAAATAAAAGGTGATAGGTTTTTCTTAATTCTACAAGTTATGCATTATGTGCTAGTAATAATCTCTCCCCTCCCATAAAAAAAATACATCTACTTTGTGTGCATTGCTTTCTGCATGATTCATTATCCTGGATAGCCTTCACAGCCTAAAGGTACCACCAGAAATTTTCCATGTTTCCATAATCTGCCACTGATCTTTTTTGATATTAAAATAGTACATTATTGGCTTTATCTGGCCAAACCAAACCACACTTAGGGAACTTAGGGAACTGAGCCATTATATCCAGCACTTTTCTCCTGAGAATTAATCTCCTCATGTTTAAAAGACCAAACTACCCCTCATTTTGAGAGAAGAAAAGAAAAAGAGTTGAATCAGTACTATCAAGGTATTCGTTTGGTTGTTGTCCTGGCTGTGGGGTGGCATGAGGGGAGATTTTATAGTTAATATTGTACCACGCATTTCACAGGATTCACCAGAGAGAAATATCTACACCATTAATAGGCGTATAATTAGTCAACAGTTTATACCCGAAGCTCAGACCATCCTTCTCTTGAGTCAACAGGTTTTCAAAGTCACTTCACATTTTCACATCCTAAAAGATGGCAAATAAATAGTCTTGACTTCCATGCTGACTCTATAATGCTTTTTAAATTTTTTTTGGAGTTTGATACATTAAGGCACCAAAAGAAGCAATATGAATTAAGATGTATATCACATATAATTGACATTTTCCTCAGTTTTCCTCATCTGAGGAAAAATTAAGATAAAACTATATTTTCCTACTCTATTTTTCATAACTTTAGAAACTGACATATATGTAATAATTTTTATATATCTTAATCTTGTCTTTAAGCAAAAAGAATGGTGCCTCTACATAAGTTGATGAAAACTGCAAATGATAATAAAGGTGAGTGTTAAATCTGATAGGAAAGCATTGTAATGAGGGGGTTTAATATTTTGATTTTTGTGTGTGTGTGAGGAAGATTGGCCCTGAGCTAAGAACTGTTGCCAGTCTTCCTCTTTTTTTTTCCTACCCAAAGCCCCAGCACCTAGTTGTATATCCTAGTTACAAGTCATTCTAGCTCTTCTATATGGGATGCCACCACAGCATGGCTTAATGAGCAGCACATAGGTCTGCAACCAGGACCTGAACCAGCAAACCCCGGGCCACTCAAGTGGAGTGCATGAACTTAACCACTAAGCCATGGGGCCAGCCCCCTGACTGACATTTTTAATCTCATAGTTATTTTCCCTAAGGGTTTTGTCAATTACTATCCTCTACCTACTTGTTGATAGGTGACTGAATACCTCTCTCCAATTGTTTTCCTGAGTTCCTTTAGCCTTTGTAGTCTACACCACACTGCATCACATGTGATTATCAGGTATTTTATATTGTTTTTCTAATGGATTCAGTTGTGATGAATTATTTATCTATAATTACATTATAACCTATTTGGTGCAATTTACAGTGCAATTACACAAAGCAGGTGTTCCTATCTCTGTCACTAAAGATATTAATTCAGCTCACTGGGCTTTAGTATCCTTATCAATAAAATGAAAAGGGTGAATTAGACTAATGATTTATTAGTTCTCTTTCAGCTTTAAAATTCTAGGACTAACCTTTGCAGTTGAAAAGACATTATCAAGAAAGTGAAAGACAACCCACAAAATAGGAGAAAGTATTTGTAAACGATATATCTGATAAAGGTCTAGTATCCGAAACATATGAAGAACGCTTATAACTCAACAATAAAAAGACAAATAACCCAAATTTAAAAATGAGCAAAGGACCTAAATAGACATTTCTTAAAAGAAGATATAAAAATGACTAATAAGCACATAAAAAGATGTTCAGCATTATTAGTCATTAGAGAAAGGCAAATCAAAACCATGAGACACCACTTCACACCCACTAGGATGACTATAATGAAAAAGACAGTAACAAGTGATGATGCGGATGTGGAGAAATTGGAGTCCTCATACACTGCTGTTGGGAATGTAAAATGGTGCAGCTGCTGTGGAAAACAGTTTGGCAGTCCCCAAAATGTGAAACATGAGCCAGCAATTCCACTCCGAGGGATATACTCAAGAGAAATGAAAACATGTCCACACAAGAACTTGGACAGGAATGCTCATAGCAGCATGATCATAATAGTCAAAAAGTGAAGACAGGGGCTCCCTGAGGCATAGTGGTTAAGTTCAGCACATTCCGCTTCGGCGGCCCAGGTTCACGAGTCTGAATCCCAAGTGTAGACCTACACCTGCCATGCACTTATATATGGCAACCCACATATAAACTGGAGAAAGACTGGTACAGATGTTAGCTCAGGGCTAATATTCCTCAGCAAAAATAAATAAATAAATAAAAAGGCCATCATCAGTCATCAGCCATCGTCCATCATCAGTTGATGAATGGATAAACAAAATCTGGTATATACATACAGTGGAATATTATTCAGCCATAAAAAGGAATGAAGTACTGATCCATGCTACAGCATGGATGAACCTTGAAAACTTTATGCTAAGTGAAAGAAGCCACTTATTATATAATTCTACTTGTATTAAATGTCCATAATAGGCAAATCCAGAGACAGAAGATAGATTAGTGGGTGCTACAAGGCAACCACTGTGGGAGGGGAGAATGGGGAGTGGCTGTTAGTGGGTACAGGGTTTCTTTTGGAGTGATGAAACTGTGCTGGAATTAGATAGTGGTATTGGTTGTACAACTTTGTGAATATACTAAAAACCACTGAATTGTACACTTATTAAAGGGTGAATTTTATGGTATGTGAATTATTTTTTAATTTTTTAAAAATTCCAGGACTGACCCAAAAACATATCTGCTGAAAAAACACAAGTACTCAGAATCTGTGCCTGTTTATTTGTCAGGCTCTGTAAGTAAAAAAAATAAACAACAGGCTGGCCCCAAACATAAGTCCCAGCCCCAAAGCACCTTCTGTCTATCCAGTGTACCAAGCTGTGGAACCCATCTTATGTCCTGGGACCATCAGCCCTATAGATAACTATCACACCAGTCCACCAATTCTAAACTACCTAGGATATACCCACAAGTAAATTAAGTGAAACCAGCCCTTCATCTCATTTGGTTCTGGATAGATGACTATTGGTGTAGCTAAATTATAATACATGCCTACTCCCAGGGTATTTTAGTTCCTTATGTATACCACCCTATTAATTTTGATGACTTCTTTCACCACGATTTACTCACAGATTATGGAAACTTGAATTTGGATGAACCTGTCCCACTTCCCTATCAGCTACTTTAGGGTAGGCATGCTGTCTTGTAAGTCTTTTATTCTTTGTACCTAGCAGTTACTAGGTATCTGCTGAGGGGATGAATGGATGCATGCATACATTCATTTAACAATCAGTTCATGTCTACCATGTGCCAAGCATTATTCTACATGCTTGGGACAAAAATCCCTACCCTCGTGGAGCTTACTCTTTAGTGAAGAGATACACATAATAAATAAATAATAGTATGACAGACATTACAGAGAAAGTAAAGCAAGGAAAGGGGTATAGGGAATGCTGGAAGTGGGGGAAGGTAATGAAGAAAGCATTTAAGGCATTTAAGCAAAAAGCTAAGGAGGTAAGGGAGCAAGCCACGCAGAAATCTGAGGCAAGAGCACTCCATGCAGAGGGAAGATTAAGTGCAAATGCCCTCATGCAAGAACATGCTTGCACTAGTTGAGAAAGAGCAAAGAGGGCACTGTGGCTGGAAGAGAGTGAGCAAGGGCAATGTAGGAGGAGGTAAGGTCACAGAGGTATGGGACAGGACTATCACATTCAGACACATAGGCTATGCAGTGCACAATTCCAGGGTTTTGCAATGAGATATCCCTTGTTAGTGGAAGGGGATGGAGCAGGTGTGGGGAGCAGCAGACCATATGAACCTTGAAGGCTATTGTAAAGGTTAGATTTTTACCCTGCGTGGCATAGGAAACTACTGGAGGATTTGAGCAGAGACATGACGTGATCTGACTTAAGTTTTTAAAGGATTATCCTAGTTCCTGTGTGTAGAACAGACTTGGCAGGAGCAGAAGCAGGGAGACTAGTTAGGGGGTCTGTGCAGTAATCTAGAGCAGGAGGTGGCGGGAGTGGTTGGATTACATTTATATTTTGATAATGGAATCAACACTATTTCCTGATAGATATATTCTCTGATGTATCCCAGGGCCTAGAACATAACAGGCACTAAAAAAATACTATGGAATGAATGAATTGGATTAGATGTGGGATACAAAAGAAGAGGGTTGGAGCATATTCCAAGAGTTTTGGCCTGAACAGAGGCCTGGAAGGGTGGAATTGCCATTTCCTGGGATGAATAGATGAATGAATAAGTGACTGGATAAATTCTGTTATATTTGTTGAATTAGTGAAGAAACTAATTGAAATCCATATAGATTCAAATATTATGGAGAGAGGAGATATTAAAAATCAGAGTTTTTCGTGGTTTGCAGAACCTGGGTTAACAATTTAATATTATAACTTGCTATAAAGTTGATCCTAGGAAAATTTTCTGACATTTTGTATTGATTCTCAAGAATAAATCAGTGAGGATAAGCAGGTGTTTGTTACATATTTCTTTATATTTTCCTCTTATTGCCTATACATGTTGATTCTTGTAATACTCCTCACATCCTTGCACTCCATGACTTGCTTGGATGGTGTGGGGATAAGAGTTTACTGCTATGCATTTTCACTGTTAGTGTTCCAAAAGAACTATCCATGTTGGTGTACACTAAATTTTAAAAGTATAAGTAGTTGGTTTGCATGAGTAATAACTAAAATGGTATTGTGTAAAGGGGAGTAAGCCTTTTAATTTCTGCAAATAATTCCATTATTAATCTAGACTAATCAGGAGGGAGCAAGAGAAGCACTGGGGTTTACCAGGATTAGGCCATCCCAGAGGATTTTGCCTACCCAGGTTACCAGAGTTGAGGTAGGAAATAATAATAGTCACTTCCTTCATGCAGCCACACCCTGATGACTTCTAGGTGATGGAGGCTGAGAAAAGCCTAAGAGGAGGGAGAAATGGTGAAGCACATCTCTGACCAAAAAGGAAGGAACATCTTGCCTCTCTCCAGTCATTCTTTGAACACTTCCTATGGACAGAGCTAATGTCAGGGAAATAGAACATTCAGCCTCTGACCTCAAGGTGCTTACACTCAGTGAAAACAAAAGAGCCAGGGAGAGTAGTGAAGGGAATTTGCCTGTAAAGAAATTGATTGGCCTACACCAGCAGTATCTCTACCAGAGGTAGCTACATTGTTGGGGTTTTTTGTTTGTTTGTTTTTCTGAAAAATCCTGTTCTCATCGATCTGGTAACTGAAGGAACTGATGAGACTCTCTTCTGCTTAAGGTTCATATATATTTAACTGTAGAGGATGAATTAGGCATTACCCTAAAATATTAGGTTTTCAGAGTTCACAAATTATAAATCACATTGAGACACAACCTTTTCCCATAAAATTCCTCTTCCTCCTTTGGCAATCAGTACCATATAGGAAGAAGCCTAATACCAGATATTCTGCCCCATCTAATATTCACTTCCTTTTTATTCTTCATAAAGTCAGAAAAGAATATAAGCCTAGGCAATTCTTAGATTGATATGGTTGAATTAATTCCCACAGAGGACAGCTATATTCATTCAACATCCCTACTCAAATATCTTTAGGATTCTCCAATGCTAATTAAGTGTAGACTCTCTTAGCTTAACAATCAAGATGTACATGTATCTACAAAAACTAGGTTAAATGAGTAACATGCTGCATATAAGAGACTAGAAAAAATGATGGGAACTGTGACAATCAGGAAACCTTAGGTTCCAGTTAAAGGGGTGACAGTTGTTCTGCTCCAGCCAATTATTGCTAAGCAGGAATGTGGGCTCTGTGTTTTCTGAGCTTTAGGTTTTTCATGAGAAGTCATAAACTGATAACTCTTAATTTATCCATGTTTTCATTTATGAAATTCAGACTTTTTTAAATGCTGTCTAAGCCAAATGAAACAGGTGGGGATTGAATTTGCAATCTCTGTTCTAATAACGAACCCCAACCGAACATGCCTAATCTTTTTTGCTCCCAGATCTCGCTTCACGCAATCCTCTCCTCTAATGTGGCTGAGCTAGTCCTTGTCTCCTGACCTCCATGATTACTCTACATGCTTTTCCTCTTCTTTACTCTAGGCTGCTCTTCCCTCAGTGCTACTTGCTACATATTAAAATTCTACTTCTCCCTACACATAAGACCTAAAACTATTAAACTCTTAGAAGAAAACATAGGAGAAAAGTTTCATGACAGTGGATTTGGCAGTGATTTCTTGGATATGACACCGAAAGCCCAGGCAACATAAGTAAAAATAGATAAATTGGACTTCATAAAAATTCAAACTTCTGTGCATCAAAGGATATAATGAACAGAATGAAAAGGCAACCTATGGAATAGAAGAAAATATTTGCAAATCACATATCAGAAAAGGGGTTAATATCCAGAATATATAAAGAACTCCTACAACTCAACAACAACAACAAAAGTGATTAAAAGTGGGCAAAAGACATGAACAGACATTATTTCACAGAAGATCTCCAAATAGCCAACAAATATATGGAAAGATACTCAACATCACTAATCACTAGGGAAATGTAAATTGAAACCCCAATGAGATATCGCCTCACACTCATCAGGGTGGCTACTATCAAAAACAGAAAACAACTATTGGTGAGGACGTGGAGAAATTAGAACGCTTGTGTTGGGGCCAGCCCAGTGGCACTGCAGTTAAGTTCGCACCTTCCACTTTGGCGGCCCGGGGTCCACCGGTTTGGATCCTGGGTGTGGACATGGCACGGCTCATCAAGTCACGCTGTGGCAGGCATCCCACATATAAAGTAGAAGAAGATGGGCACAGATGTTAGCTCAGAGCCAGTCTTCCTCAGCAAAAAGAGGAGGATTGGCAGCAGATGTTAGCTCAGGGCTGATCTTCCTCAAAAACAAAATATATATATACATATATATAGAAATATATATATATATATATAAATATAGAATGCTTGTGTACTGTTGGGAATGTAAAATGGTAGCAACTATGGAAAACAATATTTCTTCAAAAAATTAAAAATAGAACTGCCATGTGATTCAGCAACTACACTTCTGGGTATAGATCCAAAAGATTGAAAGCAGGGTCTCAAAGAGATACTTGTACACTAATGTGTCATAGCAGCATTATTCTTAATCGCCAAAAGGTGGAAGCAACCCAAGTGTCTGACAGATACATGGATAAATGAAATATGGTAAATATAATAGAATATTATTCAGCCTTGAAAAGGAAGGAAAATCTGACACATGCTACGACATGGATGAACCTTGAAGATACTACACTAAAAGAAATAAGCCAGTCACAAAAAGACAAACACTTATTCCACTTATATGAGGTTTCTAGACTAGTCAGATTCATAGACAGAAAGTAGAATTGTGGTTGCCAGGGATTAAGGAGAGGAGTAAATAGGAAGTTACTGTTTAATTAGTATAGAGTTTCATTTTTGCAAGATGAAAAAGTTCTGGAGATTGGTTGTACAACAGTGTGAACATACTTAACAATACTGAACCATACACTAAAAAATGCTTAATAGTAAATTTTATGTTACGTGTATATTACCACAATTTAAAATAATAATTCTAAAATTCTACTTCTCAACAACCCCATCCAATAGGAGTTGCCATTATCCCCATTTTAAATATTGGTAGCCCCTAACATAGTAGGCCCTTTTAAATAATTAATTTGTAAATTAGCCCTTCCCTTTCTTTCCCTTTTTTATCGCTGGCCAGAATGGGAAACAGTGTACCAAGTTTGGAAAGAATAGGAAAAAGTCAAATTATGCTCATAATAAACAAATCCTGAGAGCAGGGATAGGAAACTCCTAGAATTGCAGCCACTAAGTGAAGCCTAAAACAAATTTAGGGGGCTCAAGCTAAGCCTCGGGTGCCAGAGGTAGCTGTGCTTAGCCATGATGAAAACTAAAGTCACTCCTAACTCCTGGGCTAGAGGATTTACAGCGCCAAGAGACATGTCAGATCTTGAATATTAAAGTTTCTGATTAAAATAATCATAATCTATTCTTTAATTGCTCTTTTTAAATCACTCTTTCCAATAATACTGTAGACCACAAACCTATGAGAGTTTGATTTTTTTTGTCCCTCTTCCTAGGCTTAAATAATTAATGACATGGTTCTTAATCATCATTCAATTAAGGCAGTTGGGTAAAATCTTCTACTTAAACAAATTTCACCTCACTAATGTTTAAAATGAAAATATGTTAATACAGAATTTTTTTCAAAAACCACTTCCCCTTCCCTGAAATCCTAACAGTGTCAAAATGTTCTGATTCTGTAATTCACACCTACACCTACCCCAAGGGTACTGAATAAACCACATTGAAAGCGCAGTTGCTCTAAAGCTGGAAGGAGCTTGTGGGTCATTCTCATCCTGGGCCTGAGCCTGAGAAGTGAATGAGGTCACAGTTGTATGATGGAACAAACCCTTTATTGGATTCTTGATCTGATTGAAGCCCAGAAGTGGTGAGTAGCACGGCTTAAAAGTAGGTAAATATCCGCATTTTGTAGGAACCTACACTGAGTCCTTTTTTTAAAATCTATTGTCTCTATGAGAGATTGAAGGTAGTTTTTTAAAGTGATGATTATTTTGAGCCATGAGGATGATTTCAGAGCACCTTTCAAGTGCCTAAATCGTTGAGCCTCTCCGGAGTTCCCAGCTCTGTGGTAGGTTTCCAGATTTTGAGCACATGTAATTGAGTTGTTTAGAAACAGCTGCTTTCCAGGCTCTGAGGCGAAGACCTGGGAAAATTGATCGAAACTCTAATCAAATATTCAGAGACTTTTTCTTCACGGTTTAATGGTATTTGATTGTCTATTATTTCTAAGTCAGCAACCTAGTATCCTTGGCAGTGAACCACCTGATACACTCTACATTTTGAAAAGATAATTGGAGAGATAAAACCAACAATAAAAGGAGGAAGCCATAACAACCCAGCTTCCGGTCCACAGGCCCTGATTCTCAAACTATACAGAAGTGGAAAGGACTAGGGAGGCTATAGGCGTTGAGAGTCCCTTCAGGAAGGTCTAGGGTAGCAAAAGAGCATTGCATCCACCTCCATTTCTACTTTTAAGAATGACCAGTAGGTTCATAAGAACTGACATGGCAGGGGTGGACCTCCCAGAAGGAAACCCTGGGAAAATCTACTCACTACCAAGCAGGTATTCAAGATATAAACAATTAGGTAAATACTTTAGAAATACTATAGCATTTTATTCTCTGTCAATTATGACATGAAATGTTTTACTGATTTCAAAAATAAATTTTATCTTTAAGTAAATTTTTCTAAATATTTCTAGGATGCTTTATCTGTGTCACATGGTACTATTTATTTTTATATAGGATCAGAATGACACTATTTGAAGGAGGAGCAATGGCAAGAAATTTTGCTTAGAGATTTTGGGACAGTGAAGGGTCTCTTCCACATGGCCTTCCAACTTTGCACATACCTCTAACTTGAATTTGCACATATTACCATTCCTTGAGGCCTTGAACTTCAAACTCTAGGTCTTGAGCTGGGAAAGCTGCAAAAGAATATAGAGAAATTAATCTGTGATTTGATCCTTAATTGTATCTTCTGAATTCCAGATAGAGTTACTGGCCACATGGCAGTTTCTGACATTAAATCAAAACTTAAGCTGAATCCTCTAACAAAAGTACCCAGCTACTATGGCAAAAGGTAAGTAATGAATGTATTAAGGTGCTAAATATATTAAGATAAAGAGTTATTAAGATGAATATATTAAATACTCATAAAGGCTATGATGAAACAAGTTAGAATTCTCTTCTAGTATCTATTCTATGACAAATTTAGTTATAAAGCAAAACATAAGAATTGAAGATTTTTTATGAAAATAAAAAAATATATATCCTTTTGATTAGAAACAAAGAGTCCTCCTTCCTGTTCTCCCAAATGAGAGGCTATTTTTGTGTGAGGGGACAGAATACCCTAGAGGGCTTAAGAAGTTGTCAGTTATACATTAAGATATTATGAGTGCCAGTTTAAAGGAGAATTCATTTATGGGATCATAAAGAAAACCTAAGCCCTAAGCAAGTCAGAGTATAAAGAAAGAGTCTATAGCTCAAATATGGCCAGTAAAATGAAATCTGGTAAATTAGCCATGACTAAGCTAGGGCTAAAGTTGAGAAGGGAGGTTTGCCTGTGACATTAACAATAGCTTTTTCTCAGTCTAATAACTACAACTTCCAGTAAACAATAGCTACTAATAACTGAAAGTGAAAGCCTAATCTGTATTTTATCAGACCATAAGTAGAAAATCCTCTCTCTTCTCTCACAATTATCCATTTTCTTTGCCACTTTGAGAGTATTTCTCCTAGCGTCCCTGATGATGCCACTGCTAAGGGAATATATTACTGGGTTTTTTAGAGGGACGTATCTTATAGCAGCCAAATTCCTTGATCTCATTCTTCCCTTACTCTGCATTACAAGCTGTTTTTTGCAGTAGTGACTTCCTCATCATCGAAGGTAGTCAAGCAAAGACTAGATAATACCACATGTAGAGGGAATTCCTACATGAAATGAGAGGCTAGACTGGATTCTTTACAAATCAAACATTCTTTGAACCTTTGAAACGTTGTAAAATCAAAAGATTTTTTTCCCATATTTGAATCAAGGTAAAGTTTGAAATTCTTCCAAGAGTATCCTTTTTTTAATATAGCTAATAAAGACATTACACTGCCTGACCTTCTACTTTCTCTCGCTTCTTGAAAACTTCATATTTCTCCATCTACTGCATTTTTTATATCATGCAAAAGAAATTTGTTTATATTTAGAAATACAACAAATATAAAATACCCTATCTGAGTAAAGGCAAACTTGAGTTTTCAGAAGTTCAAGTAGATGATAAAAAGGAAACATCAGAAGAAGAAATCAGGGGCCAGCCCTGTGGCCGAGTGATTAAGTTCACACACTCCATTTTGGTGGCCCAGGGTTTCGCTGGTTCGGATCCTGGGCACGGACCTAGCACCACTCATCAAGCCATGCTGAGGTGGCATCACACACAGCAGAGTCAGAGGGACCCACAACTAGAATCTACAACTATGTACGGGGGGCTTTGGGGAGAAGAAGAAGAAGAAGAAAAGATTGGCAACAGAAGTCAGCTCAGGTGCCAATCTAAAAAAAAAAAAGAAATCAGTGTTAGTAAAAGCTGAGAAAATAAGACTAACTAGATAAAATTCTATGTTGAGAATGGTGCATTTTGAGACCTTATCGCCTCCTTTTCTTCAAGGTTCCTCTTTGAAAATGAGTTGAATCTACTAGATACTGTAGAGGATACTAAATTTATAAACCACAATTTTTTTACTTTATCATGTTTTGTATCTCTTCTAATTTTAGTTTTTTAACTGCTTTTGTGAAAACATAAAAACTAAGAGATTCCACATTTCTTAAGACTTTTAGTTCTACTAGTATCAAAGCTAAGTGTATCTTAAATAAAATTAATTTATAAAATTATGATTATTATAAGTTTACTTTTAAATTATAATATTATGAGCAAACCTGGTTTTGCATAATATATTTTTATGTTCCTAAACTAATAAATTACTGCAGGTCTATGCAAAATATCCCCAAAATACTAATATTTTTTCAGATTTTATTTTCCTGAGAAAATGAAAAGTCACTCAGGGTTCCAAACTTTCCATAAATGTTCTCTCTCTTTAGATAGATATAGTTGACATAGATATAGTTTACCAATGTAGATATAGATAGAGCTACCTCTGTCTCTCTCATATGCTGGTAAAAATACAATTTGGCAATTAAAGCTGTAAAATAATCATGGATACCAAGGTTTTGCTATAAGGATATTCCCCATAAAATTACTTATACTAGTTAAAAATTTGAAACAACTTAATATTTCTAACAATAGGAATAGTGGAAGGCTTATGTTCGAGAGCTTTGGTGTCAGATAAACCTGAGTTTGGATCCTAGGACTTCTACTTATTATCTGTGTGACTTGGGACAAGTTATTTAAGTCCTCTGAGCCTCAGTTTTCTTTTTTGTAAAATGAGGGAAATCAGATTTTTTTAAGGGGGTAAGTGTGATGGGCAAAGACAGGGTGGAGGTGGACCTCAGTGGCTAGCATTTTCTCACTGTCCATCTTGTAGCTACTGGCAGGTGACAGTAAGAAGTCCCCTAGGTTGTGAGACTCTGGGTAAACTGTCATGCTTACAGTCATTGCAGTCAGCAAAGACTGAACAGCGAAACCAATATCTTCTGGTTTCACATGTGTGTTAAATCTTTCCATGTCTCTTGTCAGGGATAAAGATTTACCAGGATCTCCCCCATGCCAATTACAGCACAAAGAAAGGAAGTTGAATGCTTCACAAATGCAAGGTAATGAGAATCATCCCCAAAATGAAAGCATTTCACAAAAGCCCCTTAATATATCTGATCATTTTCTTCTCTAAGAGAGATCTGGGATTTCAAGGATTGTCTACAATACTCTGTTATTTGGGTGCAAAAAAAAATTTTTAATTCAATGTCTAATTTGTAGGAAGGAAGGGGGATTACTTTGAAATAAATATCTTTCTAGAATTTAGACAGTCCTGGCTAAATATTTTTATTCAAAAAAGATCATGTGAGTGTGGAAAAGAACAAGTGGAAGTTCAAATAGAAATCAAGTAATGGAGTAGTATAAGCATAACCAAAGTCTCAGGATTTCTCATAGAAAAAAATATAATGATGAAATGAGCTACACTGGCTACAGTGCATTAATCCAAACAACAAATATTTATTTAAAGCCAACAGTGTACTAGGCATGGGAAACATAACAACTAGCAAGTCAGACATGGTCACTGCCCTGATAGGAAGTCTTACAGGAAAGTCAACAGTTAAACCATGAATTTGATCGAAACATTTAAATTACAGTGTGACACAAATTATGATATGGAAAGTATAGAGTGTTATAGAAGCATAAAAGAAAGTCTCCTAACTTGGTCTTGCAAGGATAGGAGGGGAGTCCCAGAGAAGGCTGAATAATGAGTAGGAGTAAATCAGGCAAAGAGCATAGAGGAGAGTGTTCTGGGCAGAAAGAGAGGAATCTGTGAGGGCCCAGAGGAAAGGAACAGCATGACACACTAAAAAACTAAAAAAAGTCAAGCATGGCTGTGTTTGGATTCTGGGAAGGCCAATGCTCCAAGTTTGGAACTAATTAAAAAACTGACTCAGGAGACAGAAGAAATTAAAGAATCACCTTTATTGCTGGAAAAGCTGGTTTGGAAAACACAAAAGATTGTCAAGATCAGAACTGCATTTTCACAATTGCACTGTAAAACTGAGCTAAATGCCTTAATAATAACAGTTTATGGGTTTATAAAACTTAAAGGTTTCTAAAGTGCATTAATATACATTGGTGCCTGTTTTAAGGATACCAGGATTTGTTTTAATCAGGTCTTGTAAGACATACAGACACAAAAATGATTGCCATAGAGGAAGAAGTTTTTTATACTCACAGATACTAGAATACTAGAAATAAGAGGCACAGCCCACCATGGAGGCCAACACAGGGGAGCTCCAGAGTTGGTCAGGAGGCAAAGGGTGGAGTGAAGTGGGCAAGAGCCTTTACTGTGGTTTCTGCAGGAAAGAGCAAGCAAGGCAGGATATGCAGGTTTAGGATTGGCTAGTTCAAATAATTTCTGTGAGCTCTGGGGTGTAGGACTATCCCTTATTTGTCTGGTACCTGGCCCTGCAGTGATTAAGACAGAGAATGATTCCCTCAAGGTCCATCCATGTTGTTACAAATGGCAAGACTTCCTTCTTTTTTATGGCTGTCTGTGTGTGTGTGTGTGTATGTGTGTGTGTGTGTGTGTATGCACGACATCATCTTTATTCATTCATTCATTGATGGACTCTTAGGTTGTTTCCATATCTTGGCTATTGAAAATAATGCTGTGATGAACACAGGGGTGCATATGTCTTTTTGAATTAGTGTTTTCATTTTCTTCAGATAAATACCCAGAAGTGAATGGACCCTGAGGGAATTATGCTTAGCAAAATAAGTCAGAGAGAGAGAGACAAATACCACATGATTTCAGGAGAAACCTGACCAACACCACCTTGGCCAGGTGATCAAGGTTAATATCATCAGTGATAAGGCACATTGATAATATGTAGCCTTGATATACTGATGAGACTTCACTTCTGTGGTTTTCCTCCCCAAAATCCATAGTCTCAGGCCTACCATGAGAAAAGCATCAGAAAAACCCAAAGTGAGGAAATTCTACAAAATACCTAAACGATACTCTTCAAAACCGTCAAGGTCATCGAAAACAAGGAAAGTCTAAGAAACTGTTATAGAGAAGAGGCTAAAAAGACATGATGACTAAATGTAATATGGTGTCCTGAGTGGAATCCTGGAAGAGAAAAAGGGCATTAGGGAAAACTATGAAAATCTGAAGTGTCTGCAGTTTAGTTAGTAGTACTGCTCCAACGTCGGCTTCTTAGATGTGACAAATGCACTGTAGTAACGAAAGATGTTAACATTAGGGGAAAATGGGTGAGGGATATACAGGTCTTTGCTGCTATATCTAAAACCAATCTAAAATAAAATGTAAAATAAGTTTAAAAGCATAACCATACCCACACACACATTACCTTTCTGACCTCTCCTATACCTCTCCTCTTGCTCACTCTGCTTCAGTCACACTAGCATCCTTGCCGTTCCCGGAACACACCAGGCCCATTTCCTTCAGGGCCTTTGCTCTAGCTCCTCCCTCTGCCTAGTCCTCTCTTTTCCCAGATATCCACTCCCTCACCTCCTTCAAGTTTCTGCTCAGATCTCACCTATTTAATACAGCAACCTATCCCTCAATCCCTGGAACTCCCAATCCCCTCACCTTGCATTACTTTTTCTCTTTTCCATAGCACTTACCACCCTGTAATGTGTTATCTAATTTACTATTCATTACACTTGTATAAGGGCAGAGATCGTTGTCTGTTTAGTACACTAATGTATCCTAGGGACCCAGAGCAGCAGCAGGCACACAGAAGGCATGCAATAAGTATTTGTTTATTAGGCTGCGTGAATGAATGAACACCTACTAACGTGCTCGAAACACTGGGAGAAATTAGAAACAAGTCAGAGATGACTCCAGCCCTAGAGAAGCCTTCCTTTTACCAAGAGAGAAAGATGTTAACTTTTCACACAATTATAACCCAGATATCATTATCTCTATAGGATTAATCACTCTCATACAAAGAGATGCTAACGCTTGAACATGATATGAAATAAGTTTTATTCTGGTGCCATTTAGGACATACTTTGTTCTGGGTTTACTTATTCGTTCACTAATTTTAGAAAATACATGTCTAATTTTGGCCTTGAGTATTTCTTTGAAAAAAACTTTGAATCTGTACAAAATATACACACACATGTAATTTGGGTCCAATTTGCTGCATTAGTTTTCTACCTATTGCTGCCATAACAAGTTGCCACAAACTCAGCGGCTTAAACAACACAAATTTATTATCTCACATGCTATAGGTCAGAAGTCCAGGTGGGCTCAGCTGGTTCCTCCTCTCTGGGTCTTACAAGGCAGAATGAAGGTGTTGGTCTGCCTGGTCTCTTATCTGGAGGTTCTGGAGGAGAACCTGCTTCCAAGATTATTCAGGTTTTTGGCAGAATTCAGTTCCTTGCAATTATAAAGCTGAGGCCCCATTTCCTTACTGGCTGTCAGCCAGGAGCCTCTCTCAGCCCCTTAAGGCCTCTGCATTCCACATCCTGTTGCCCTTTCCATCTTCAAATCAGTAACAGTGGGTTCAAGTCCTTCTCGCAGTTTGAATCTGACTTCTCCTTCTGCCACATCTCTCTTGCTTCTAGCTGCTAAGGGACCCTGTGATTAGATTGGGCCCACTCAGATAATCCAGGATAATCTATTTTATCTTATCTGCAAAGTCCCTTTTGTCATGTAAAGTAATACATTCACAGTTCCAGGAATTAGGATGTGGACATCCTTCAAAGGTCATTTTGCCCACAGATTTGGTTTTCCACCGTTAGTTTGTTCCAGTTCAAATCTCATGGAAGGACACCATCCTTTATAAGAAATGTCTATTAAGTACTCATTTTTCTCTCAATACTTTTCAGAACATGATCTCTAATCAACTGTATTGTCTGTCTTAATTCTATTAGAATATATATTTTTTCTTGAATAACTGTCCTAACTTAATTTCATTTCCCCAGCCTTCCAAGATGCCTACAACTATTTTAATAAGGATAAAACTGGCTGTATTGATTTACATGGAATGATGTGCACTTTAGCTAAGTTGGGAATGAATCTAACCAAGCATGATGTCTATAATGAATTAAGATGTGCTGATATTGATCGTGAGTACTTTGACTTGTCACTATTTTTCTCATAAAAGATTTTTATGAATATATGTTTTTCTCTCAATGACTACATAAACATGAGAAACAAACCTCACTTATTTGTCAAAAGTACATATATGTGTTTCTCTTTGAGTATATCAGTGAGGTTTGTATACAAGTTATGAAATCAAATTAATGCTACAAATGGACTGTTTTTTTAAAAATCCTGTGAGGAAACTAAAAGTGACTGTCATATTTCAATATCCAATTCAGATTACCCGTTCATGATGCACATTTTGGAGGGTGCCCTGAAATAACAGATATAAAGGCACTGACAATTTCAAAAATGAGATGTTACCTAGGAAATCCAAGCCTTTTGTTTCTGTTTGAATCGTATTAGTACAAATCTTCCTTTCATCATTAAAGCCCATGTTGAATTTTAAACACCATGGCATTTTTTGTTGATATTTTTAAAGCATATAGATAATGTTTTCATTGAATATACTGACCTAGTGATTACTAGCCCAGGCTGATATGTTGTGTGGAATATAACTCAGCATATTATCTCCTCTCACCTCTCCCCACCCAACTGCCAGTGCCCCATTCAGTCAGCACCAGTTCCACGTGGGAGTCAATGCCACCACTTAATTAAGGTGTCACTTACTTCCACTAACTCTGCCCAATTTTTCTATTTGATCAAAACACACACACACCCGCCTCTATTAGCACTTGCTGTTCTTTAATTTTAGAGGAAATGGGGTACGACTTGGGGAAATATTAGGAGTGGGTATGGAGTGGGAAGGCAGGGATGGATTCCTTGCAAAAACAGCAAGTCTCTAGGAAAAGAGTGAGTGGATCGGACTACAGTGGCTGGGAACCCTTGGTTTGATGTTTATACTCCACCACTGCTTCACTGGGCTGTGGGTGACTAGTGTGATGGTGCTAAGACCACTTCAAGAAGACCAGTGCTTACCTGAGCATATCTCCAGCCCTAAATGCTCTCTGATTTTAAGTATTGGATGGTCCAAGGTGTTTTCACTTTTATGTTTAATATATAATCTGATAATTAAATACATTGTATATCTTTGTTCTGAGCCTTAGGTTTATGTTGCAGGAGATGGGAAGGTGAATTTCTCAGACTTTATAAAAGTGCTAACAGATCAGAACCGCTTCCTTAAGGCTGTGGGTGAGTAGAGATACTACTGAATAGATGGCAGTTGGGTAGCTGCACTTCACTGCATGGTAAATATGATTCACTTAGGTCTCCAATCAGGAGACAAGTCAGAAGGTGTAGTCTGGGAAGTGGTTGACTTTTGTACTGCTTCAGCAAAACAGTATTTGCTAAGCAAATTTATACAGTTTTAGAATTTTAACTTAAATGCATTAAGCAGGCACAGGTACTGTCTAAAGTCCTGTCTAAAGTGGAGACACTACTTTTTGGTCTCCAATGAGCACACTCAGGGAGAAACTAGTGTAGAAAAATTTGGTCTCCTTTTATAGTATTTTAATTCTTTACCAAGTGCATGTGCTACTTTGGGAGGTATTCCTTTTCCATAAGAAAAAATTTATTTTAGAAAAAGGAAAATGCTCTCTCTCTTACAAATTTGGGATGTAGATAATTTACTGTTCCTGAGAAAGATCTTCCTCACTCTGATGAAGCTTCAGTGCAAGGGCTGGAGAGTCTGCTGGAGGTTAGAGAACATGCTCTCACACAAGGTTACAAATGACATGAAGGTATACTTGAAATATTGTTATCAGTACTCTGATGGTTTGCTTATGAGTTTAATAGGCTGCCTTAAGAAATCTAACCATTATTCATATGATGTTTTCTAAGATAAATACATTCCAAATTCCAAATACTGTATACAGTTTTAAAAATACACTCATTCATAGGCTATTAACTGTCTCTAGGATAAACAGAAGTTACAGCTTGCACCTTTCACTATAGTTAACAAGAGTTTGCTTGCAAACCAGAGATATGTTTATCAACAGTTCCTTTACCCACAAGAATAGGACAATGGTCCTTAACACATAATTCATGTTTATGTTAAATCTATTACTATATTTACTTAGGACCTTAACACATAATTCATGTTTATGTTAAATCTATTACTATATTTACTTAGGAGTCATTGAACTAAAAGCATTTTTTAAGTTTCATGATTATTTTGTCTGTCAGTAATCAAAATGACCTTTCTACTAAATAGAATAGATTTTGAATGTTTTTCTGTAATTCTCTAGTCCCTGACTTGGTATTAATATTGTAAATACAGTAAAAAGACTGTCAGTTTATTACTTTTTTTGATAGATGGTTTTTTCAGAAGGCATTTTGAATTTTTTTTCCTCCATAGTTCCAGAAAAGGAAACCTGTTTAGATTTAGCTGGCAACCCAGGAATCCTGTTGTTTGAAATCCTATCAAAGCTTGTAGAGACTTCAGCCTTACCCAGAAAGGCTATAATGGAAATCGTAAGGTAAGTGACAAACGAAGGGGCAAAAATGGCCTTCTCAGAAAGTTAACAAAGTTGTCACCTCTCACTAACATCCTACTCCACAGAACCTGCTCCAAAACAAAAGTGAAGGTGTTTGTGGCAATGTTCACATGCCACAACACAAGACCTTATTCCTTCATCCCACAGTACTGCCCAGCTCTGAAATTGCAAAGCTGACCTCAAACTATCTAAGGGCCCCACTAAGGGCCTAGGACAGCAAAGAAAGCTCAGCTTCTCTTACCCTAGGCTAGAGAATCCCAGAGGAATAAGATTTCCAGGGATGATTTTGCGTGGGCTCGGAAATCTACTTTGGAGTATAAGACACTCCCATTCATGCTGGAAGTACCAGGGACCAAGAGGTCCTTTGGGTCTGGGATGAGGTACAGAAAGTTCAGACCTCCCAAAGTGGCCTTTGGACTGGAGCAGAGCCAGAATTACACTTGAGAATAGAGGCTGAGGAAACATTCTCACACCCAAATGTGTTTGTTTATTCCAGAAAATATAACTAAAAATAAGTTTCCTCAATCTATTTTTACCATTATATTATAGAAATTAAACATTGCTATTATCAATCTTTTCAAGTTGTACTCTTTCAGTGCATTCTGCTATTCCTTTCACAGGACTTAAAAATATAGAATACCACCAACGCTGTAGAAATATCCTTCTGTTCCTCCATAGGTAATCTCTTTACACTATCCTACATCTCTGTCAGATGTGGAACAGAGATGCACAAAATTCTTCTCTTCATTCCAATTCAAATGTGTTTGTTAAATGCCTGCTGTTGGTACACAAATCTGGCACACTGCTTAACCTCTCAGCCTGTTTCCTCATCTATAAAATGGGGATAATAATAATAATAATACCTCTCTATAGGGCAATCATGGGGATGATATGTGATGATATGGGTGAAGTGCTTAGCACATCATAAGAGCTTAATAAATGTTGGCTATTATTATAATGTGGAAGTAATTAGAATGAGCATAGAATATACATATTATCTATTTTATTCCTCACCTCCTTAATGGGTATATACTATTATCTCCATTTTACAGATGAAGAAACCTGATTCCTAAGTGTTTAATACATAGCATTTGCATTTAAGGAGCTTAAAATACAAATGGATAGAAAAGCCATAAATATGTAGATAACTAAATAAATATGAAGAAGTGAAATAATACAACATATATTACATAATTAATAGTCAAATGAGTGGCAAAGATCATTCGTTTAGTTTTCTAAGAAAGTAGGTCCTTATCTGAATATTGGTAGAATTTGATAGGTATTCTTAGAGTTGATTATATCATTTTTTGAGATTTTTACCAAGTGTAAAGTTCTGAGCAAGCACTTTACATAGATTAGCTTTTCCCTGGACTGTTGTCTTCTAACTGTTCTTCCTGCTTGCACCTTCTGACTTCCCTCCCCTGCCTTGCCCGCCCCACAGTCTACTCTCAATACTCTCTCTGCCTAGCTGATCCCTTGACTCCTACAACACCAAATAATCCTTTGAAAATGTTATCAGAGCATGTCACTCCTCTGCTCAAAACTTTCAAAATCCATTTCCCTCAGAATATAAGCCAGTGTTTACACGACTCTGGCCCTCTATGTGATCTGAACTCACCTTTGACCTCTCTGACTTCATCTGCTTTTACACTGCTGGAGCCATGCTGGCCTCCTGGCTGTTCCTCAAATCACCAGACATGGTCCCACCTCAGGACCTTTGTACTTGCTGTTCCCTCTATCTGGAATGCTCTTCGCCCTGATAGCCATATGACTCACTATCTCACCACCTTCGGGTCTGTGTTCGAATGTCATCTTCTTAGCACGGCCTTCTCTGACCGCCCTATTCAAAACTGCAATCCTCCTGCCACTCTGTCTCCCCTTCTCTGCTTTATTTGTCTTCATATTATTTATCACCTTCTAACATACTATATAATTTACTAGTTTATTTTGTTTGTTATCTGTTTTCTCATGCTAGACTGTAAGCTCCATGGGAGCAGGGATTATTGTTTGTCTGTTTTATTCACTGTTACATCCCCAGTGTCTAGAAAAATGCCTGGCATACCAGGCATTCAGTAAATATTTGATGAATGATCTAATTTAATCCACGCTGTGAGGTAGGTTCCAATACCCCATTTCCAGGCAAGGAGAATGAGGCCTAGAGAAGATCAAGCTGTATATCCAGCCAAGATCCCCCTCTCGAGTTTCCATTTGCCTGCTAGACAGTCCCATAGGTACCTCAAACCCAAAATGTCAGAAGCTAGCTCATCTCCTCCCTCCTAGCCCCGCTTCTACTAGTTCTTCCACTTGGGTTACAAATCCCAGTGCATAGCTCCACTGTCTCGCTGTGTTTATCCAATTGCCTGAGCTGAAGGCCCAACATCCTCAGCTGCTGCTGCTCTCTCACTCCCCACATACAACAAATCACAAAATCCCGTCTATTTTAACTCCTAAACATGCCTCAAATCCATACACTTCTCTCTGTCCCCACAGAAACCATCCTAGTGTAGGTCACTATCTTCTTACACTTGGACTTACTGCAGTATCTCCCTACTTGTCTCTCTGCCCCCATTCTTGCCCTCTCTACCTATTTTCCACATTGCAACCAGAATAATCCAACATTCAGTTAGAAAATATTTATTGAGTGCCTTCAGTACCAAGCACAAATCTAATCCTATCATTTACCTGCTAAAACCCCTACAATGGCCTCTCATGTCCCTCTGAAAAAGTTCCAACCTAACATGATATTTTCGAAGTCCTTCATGATATGTCATTTATTTTGCTTGACCCTCCAGTCTCATCTCTTGTAACTTCCCCAGTCACATCCTATACTAAATTTGGTTCAGGTCCTCAAATACTCCATGCTCCCTAACCTCCAAGTATTTGCCTAAACATTCTCTCCCCTCTTGTATCAGTTTCCTAGGGCTGCCGTAAAAAATTACCACAAAGTTCATGGCTTAAAACAACAGAAATCATGGGGCTGGTCCCGTGGCCTAGTGGTTAAGTTTGCGTGCTCTGCTTCAGCAGCCCAGGGTTTCACCAGTTCAAATCCTGGGTGTGAAGATGGCACCACTCATCAGGCCACACTGAGGAGGCATCCCACATGCCACAACTAGGACTCACAACTAAGAATATACAACTATGTACTGGGGGGCTTTGGGGAGAAAAAGCAGAAAAAAAAAACAGAAATTGTTTTCTCACAGTTCTGGAGGCCAGAAGTCCAAAAGAAAGGTATCAGTAGGGCCACACTCCCTCCTAAACCTTAGGAAAGAATCCTTCCTTGCATCTTCCAACTTCTGGTGGCTCCTGGCATTGCTTGACTTGTGGCAGCATAACTCCTGTCTCCGCCTCTATTTTCACATGGCCTTCTTCCCTATGTGTCTCAAAGCTCCCTCTCCTTTCTCTTATAAGGACACCAGTCACTGGTCTTAAGGCACACCCTAAACCCAGCATGATCTCATCTCAAGAGCCTTAATTTCATTACATCTGCAAAGACCCTATTTCCCAATAAGGCCACATTCAGAGGTACAGGGGTTTGGACTTGGACATATCTTTTGGGAAACACAGTTCAATCCACTATACCTATCTATGCTAAGCTGACTCCTTCTTATCCTTCAGCTTCCAATTAGGAGTCACTCCTTCTAAGAGGCCTTCTCTGACTCCTATGTCTGGATCAGGTTCCCCTCCCAAATGCTTCTCTTTCCTTATCATACAGCACTTTGCACTTTTGAAATTACATGTTTAATTGGCAGTCTTTTCCATTAGATTGCGAGCTCTGGAAGGACAGGGACCATGTCAGGTTTATTCATCATTATTTTCCCAGCACCTAGCACAAAGGATGGAACACATAGGCACTCAATATTCATTAAATTTAATTGACCTTCCCAAGGTCATACAGCTATTAATTATCTATTCGGTAGTCCAACAAGAGAATGTTGTGAAAAAAAAGATTTAGAAAACAGACTGCATTTGATATTTACAGAACAGTGAGCAGGTAATTTGGCTAGAACATGAGGTTTGTGAAGAGAAACAGTAGGAGATAAAGTTGGAAATGTGAACTGGATCCAGATTATAGAAAATCTACTCTGAGCGGTGGGGAGCCATTGAAAGTCTTGGAGGAGGGGAGCAGTGGGGAAGAAAGAATTCGATAAAGGGATGAAGTAAGTTTAATGTGGAAGTGGTATGTAGAAAAGTCTGTTATAAAGACAGACTGATGACCAAGGGACAAGTGAGGATATGAAAGAAATAGCTCTGGCAACAGGGGAAAAGTCCTGGAAAGGAGAGGAAGCAAAGGGAATGGAAGCAAAGGAAGGCCACAAAACCTAAGATTTGAGGTTTTAAAGTGAAGCAGAAAAGGGTGAGTCAAGATTAACAGCAGCATTTCAGTCTGAATGACTAGGAACTAACAAATAGTTAGTATGATGTTAGAGTAGGGGGATGGAAAGGGAAGATTTTAGACAGGCAATATTTGAACTGAGAGTAGGGCAGCTAAGTGGAAATGTCCCACAATAAGTTTGAAACGTAGAAGTAAAACATAAAAGAAAGATTGGGGTGAAGATATAGACTTAGAAACTGTTAATATGGAGGAAATAACAAGCCATGAATCTCAATAAAATGAAGAAAGAGGAGAGAGAGAGAAAAATGAGCAGAGGACTGAAGACAGAATCATAAGGAATGCTCATATTTATGGAATGGGAGGAAAAAGGAGTCAGCAAAGGAAATATTAGTAGTCAAGAAGAGAACCAGGATAGTGTGGAATTGGAAAGCCAGGGCCAAAGAGAAATTCAAAAAGGGATAGACTTTCCACCAGTATTAAATGCTAAAGTGTGTCCAGGTAAAATGAGGACTAAATGGACAGAATAAGATTTAGTAGTTAAGAAATCTTATGTCACCTTCTTTCCAAAAGGATGATGGGAGGAAAGCCAAATTTTAGAGGATTAAAAAATAGCTGTCAGGTTAAACATATTAGAATAAATGCATTTTTTTACCTCTTTTTCCTTCTGAAATTGCACTAAAATAATAGTAAAAGTATTTTAGAGGGCATAAGCCCACAGAAGCAAGGAGAACAGCTGACAAGAGATATCAACATAATTTTGGAAGGTGGAAAGGAAATGGATGACTGTTTACTGGCTAGTGAGATCCGAAGAGGCTGAAACTCAAGTACCTGCAGTAGAGAAGGTCAAGAAGCAAGCCAATTCTCACTGCAGAACCCTTGGAAGGCTCAGGAGCTGAACACCAGGAACCTTTGTGGGGAGAGGGGGCTGGGGGTTGAGCAAGGGAGCCCAAAACAGAAAAACTAGTTAACTAGTTAGATCCCTCTCCCTAACCCCACACAACCAAGTGACTGCCCTGGCAGTTAACTCTCTGAAGAGGTTGTACCAGGAAGATTGTTTGGACTCATGGATATCAGACATAACTGAGATGAAGGTATCATCGTGAAAGCAAGGTATTACATGGAAGTCCACTTACTGACTGGCGAGACCCCTACCAGCCACCTTCCCCTTCCCGAGGTCTCAATGTGTTGACAGCTAGAATTATGGCACTCAGGTACACTATCAGAGGATCCCTCCCCAGGAAAATTGATGAAAAGAGAAAAAACCCACAGATACTCACAATTCAAAGGTCTCTCGAGGGCCCAGCCTGGTGGTGCAGTGGTTAAGTTCGCATGTTTCACTTCTCAGTGGCCGAGGGTTCGCCAGTTCGGATCCCGGGTGCGGACATGGCACCGCTTGGCAAGCCATGCTGTGGTAGGCGTCCCACATAGAAAGTAGAGGAAGATGGGCACAGATGTTAGCTCAGGGCCAGGCTTCCTCAGCAAAAAGAGGAGGATTGGCAGCAGTTAGCTCAGGGCTAATCTTCCTCAATAAATAAATAAATAAAAAGTTTCTTGATGAAACAAGGCTCCAACCAATTACCTGACAGTGAAGTTGCCACTCAGTAAGACCCACCACACCAAACAGCTTCCAATTGACCTTATTAAAGAGTGCTTACTCTCACTTTTAAATATAGATATCCAAAGATCCAGAGATGTTTAAGGAAAACTTGTGTTATTAAAGAAAAATTAAAACAGGAGGGAAGGAAGCTAGGAAGGGAGGCAGGGAAGGCAGCAGTTAGGTATAAATATGACCTGGTATATCAATAGAATACTACTCAGCCATAAAAAAGACAAAATCATCCCATTTGCAACAACGTGGATGGACCTGGAGGGAATTATGCTAAACGAAATAAGCCAGACTGAGAAAGACAAACACCACATGATTTCACTCATATGTGGAATGTGAACAAACACATGGACAAAGAAAACAGTTCAGTGGTATCCGATCTGTCACCAATATTGAAAGCATGCGTGTTTGTAAATTGGATGTTTATACCTTTGTGGATGTTTGTACTGTGAATTAGAGCCCCTTATCATACATAGCCTGCTGTACTTATTCTTAAGGATTATAACCTAAAATGCATAGTAATATTTCTCCTAAATCTGTTCACACACATGTGCATGCACACACACACACACACACAGAATTGCAATCAATAGTGATTTACTGTGGATAGTAAGATTACTGGTAATATTTTCTTCTTTATACTTTTCTATATTTTCCAAGTTCTCTACAATGAGAGTGTCTTTTAATTTTTAAAAAGTTACATTTTAACACCCAACACAAAGTAATATAATAGTAGGCATGATTCATGTTTGTATTCCAGCTGGTACCACTCAAGAGTTCGTCAAGGATCATAATCGAGAGGTATTTTTCTAGACAACACTGGGAGGTCATGGGCAGGAGGAAGGAAGCCAAAGCCCAGGGACGACATATATAAAAATAGTCAAATAGCCTTGGAAAGTATCGGTAGATAGTCTGTAAATGTCATAGGAACAGGCACTCAATAAATAATATTGAATGAATATGCAAACTAAATTTAAAATAAATTTACTCAGCATATATCACTTGCAACTTGATCTTGTTTTCCTTTTTGTCCAACACTCATTTCTGGATTACTTTTTTTTTTAGCTATTTCCGAAGAAAATTCCAGGAGACCACCTCAGGAATATTATGGAGTCCCTATGCTATGGGTTATGGAAAAAGGAGACTTAAGCCAGACATATGCACACCTCCAAGCTCAAGCACGGCTGCCTTTGCTAGTGCTGCCCGGATCGCAATAATGAAAGAAAAGGATTTACTTAAATTTCTGGAAGAGCTCAAGAGTAAGAGCCATTTGTCTTCTCCCCACTGTCGTAAAGGATTTATTTGTATATCACTGGTCATAAATAAATACCAGAGGCCAAGTGCTATAAGAGCAGGACCACAGCCTATGCTGAGTGACTTGTCTCTGTCACTTAGATATCATTTGAAAGCAAATGTACATCTTACCTGAATCGTCAGACACCTGGATAAAGCCGAGAGTCTGTAGATTGGTGGGGGGTGGGAGCAGGAGAGTGAAGAAGGAGGATTGTGGCCAATGAAGAGAAGAATAGACAAAGAGCAAAACAGGCACCAGATATATGTATTTTATGTGAATTTCTTCATATATTATTTTTGATACCATTTTTTTATCTTTTTAGGATGCAATCCTCCTTCAGATAGCCCATATTCAAAAATACCCATCTTTCCATTGTTTCCTAATGTGGATGGGGTGGTAATGGGAAAGCCATTCAGAGACCTACAGAAATTAGAAATGCTAAGGAGAAAGGAGCCTCTGAATTTCTTTGAGAACTATTTTTTCCATAAAAGAGACTGGAAAACACAGGTGAGATTTAGATTATGTCACATCACTTAATACTTGGGTTTTTAAGTTCTAACTTAACTAGTAACATGCTTTTTGATGACAAATATTTTTAGTCATTATAGGGGCTGGCCCAGTGGCATAGTGGTTAAGTTCGCACGCTACACTTCCATGGCCCAGGGTTCATGGGTTCAGATCCCAGGCACAGACCTATGTACTGCTTGTCAAGCCATGCTGTGGCAGTGTCCCACATACAAAACAGAGGAAGACTGCCACTGATGTTAGCTCAGGGCCAATCTTCCTCACCAAAAATATATATATATATATATTAAAGAAGTATTTTCAATCATTATATTTCAAATCAGATTCCATAGCCATCTTTCTAAATTTAAGCCCAGGTATAAATATTTCATTTAATTTCAACAAACAGTTAAACTTACTGAAAAATACAATCCTAGGGGGCTGGCCCCGTGGCCGAGTGGTTAAGTTCGCGCGCTCCGCTGCAGGCGGCCCAGTGTTTCGTTGGTTCGAATCCTGGGCGCGGACATGGCACGGCTCATCAAACCACGTTGAGGCAGCATCCCACATGCCACAACTAGAAGGACCCACAACTAAGAATATACAACTATGTACCAGGGGGCTTTGGGGAGAAAATGGAAAAAAATTAAAAAATCTTTAAAAAAAAAAAAAAAATACAATCCTAGGCTTGGGAGTGGGGGTGGGGGTGGGGAATAAAAGAATCATGATAAAAAGGCTCTCAGGTCCCACTTCCAACCACTCTCCCATTAACACAGAGACCAAAAGCTACATTTTAGACTCCTTCAACTGGCTCCAGATTGCAGCTGGGCCAGACAGCATTGGGTGAGAGGATCAGGTCCACAACCCAATGGAGCAACGCAGTGATGGAGGAGCCATCCTGCCCTTGGATCAAGCGCCATTTATGGTTCCAGCTGCACCTTCTGGCCCTTCTTCAAGTTCTGTTGCCTCTAATCTATTTGCCCCTTCCCAAGATACACTTTGTCATCATGAGTTTTAAGGTCTCAGGCAAGTATGCCCTAGTTTCTGGATATTCTCTCAGGAAGCTCTGGCCTTATCCCAGGTTTGTCACAGGCCTCCCAGCCTGAGCAACAGGATCAAGATTTGACTGGAGACCAGCCCACCCTGTGGGGTATCTCTGGGTTCCAGAGGGCCACATGTTGTTCACATCACTATGAAACCCCTAGAAGGCCCCCCCAGGCATAGGGTTTAAGAGTCCAGAGGCTGGAGGAGGGAGAAAAAATGAGGAGTTGCTAATTAATGGGCATAAAGTCTCAATTGTGCAAGATGAATAAGTTCTAGAGATCTGCCATACAACATCGCGCCTAGAGTTAACCATACTGGATTGCACACTAAAAAATGTGTTGAGGTAAACCTCTTAACTAAAAACTTTGTTAAAAATCTAGTTGATTTAAGAGGGTAAGTCATGTTAAGTGATCTTATCACAATGAAGTAAATTTTTTTAAGAAAAAAGACTCCCAGAGAAGTATCACAGTCACAAATGACCTCAAGTTCAGACTTTGTCTTTATCTCTCCAGATGAAGTCACGCCACAGGCAAATATCACTGACAAGATGGAAATAAGAGGACATTTATTCCCCTTTAAACTTATTTTCCAACACTGAACCCTCCATCTGTGATGCTTATCTGTTTATTGTCAATCTCTCCAACTAGAACATATGGTTCATGTAGGCAAGGACTTTATTTCTTTCACTGAGGTATCCCTATCATCTAGAACAGAGCCTGGCCCAGAGAAGACTCAGTATTTTTTGGATTAAACTATAATACAAATTCTTTATGTATTGAGAGCACGCTGGATTGTCTATAATCATCTCAGCAGAGATAGTGTCGCTAGCTTCCTAAATGGTCCCCTTTGCTTCTACCTTTGTCCCCTCAACACAGCAACCAAAGTGGTTCTGTTAAAATCAGCTCAAAACTCTCCAATGGCTTTCGTATCACTCAGAGTAAAAGCCAAAATCTTTACAATAACTTACAAGGTCCTACACAATCTAAACCTGAATCTTCCAATAACGGTAGCCACAGTGGCTATTTAAATTTAAATTAAATAAAAGTACAAATTCAGTTCCTTGGTCGCACTACCCACATTTCAAATGCTCAATAACCATATATGGCTAATGGTTACCATATTGGACAACACAGAAATATAAAATTTTCTATCTTGCAGAATTTCTAACTTGCAGAAATTTCTATTGGACATCACAGATCTAGATCCTCATTGCCTACCTAACAATTTCATCTTCCACTGCTTACTGTCCAGTGCATTCCACTCCATCTACACGACCTCTTTACTATTCTTCTTACATAGCAGACATGCTCTCATCTAATGGTCTTGAGCTTTGCTCTTCTCTCTGCTCAAATGCTGTTCCTCATCTGCTTAGCTGTCTCCCTCACCTCTTTCAGGTCTTGATTCAAATTTCAGGACTCCCTCTCTAACCACCCTATTTAAAATCACAATAACTAGGGGCCAGCCCGGTGGTGTAGTGGTTAAGTTGACACACTCTGCTTCAGCAGCCTGGGGTTTGCAGGCCCAGATCCCGGGCACGGAACTTCACACGGCTCATCAAGCCATGCTGTGGCAGCATCCCATATACAAACTAGAGGAAGATTGGCATAGATGTCAGCTCAGGGCCAGTCTTCCTCAGCAAAAAGAGGAGGATTGGCAGCAGTTAGCTCGGGGCTAATCTTCCTAAAAGAAAAAAGAATGTTTGACATCATAAAGATATTATTCTTTCTTATTTGATCTATAACTTTAATGTGACTTTTAAAATTTACTCAAAGGATTTTTATAACTAAACAATCTGGTTCATACAAAAAAATTAAATAACCAAGAACAGTCAGAATAATCTGAAAGAAAAATTTAATGAAGACAGGGACTAACCTTACTAAATATTACGGCATATTTAAAAGTCTCAATAATTAAAATAGTGTGTGGTAAGGGAAGTTGATAGATCCAAAGAACAAAATAGAAAGTGCAAAAATAGATAAAGATATAGAGAGAGGATTTTTTGTTTTGTTTTTTGTTTTTTGAGGAAGATTAGCCCTGAGCTAACTGCTGCCAATCCTCCTCTTTTTGCTGAGGAAGCCTGGCCCTGAGCTAACATCTGTGCCCATCTTCCTCTACTTTATATGTGGGACGCCTACCACAGCATGGCTTGTCAAGCGGTGCCATGTCCACACCGGGGATACAAACTGGCAAATCCCAGGCCGCCGAAGCAGAATGTGCACACTAAACCGCTGCGCCACCAAGCCGGCCCGCAAGTTTTAATTTAAGAGAAATGTGACATTTCAACACTACAGGAAAAAGATAGATTATTCATTAAATAGTGTACTGGGTAGCCATCTGAGAAAAAAATGAGGTTCATAACTCATACCTTACACAAATTCCAAATGGAGCAAAGATATAAATGTAAAAGGAAAAAATGGAGAGAAGAAGAGAAAAAAAGAAATCTTAAAATACTGAAATAAATTCTGGGAAGGGCTTCATAACTATGACACAAAAGTATTTTTTTTAATAGATTAATTCATAGGGCCAGCCCAGTGATGTAGTGGTTAAGTTTGGCGCACTTTGGTTCAGGGGTCCAGGGTTCGCAGGTTTGGATCCTGGGCACAGACCTACACCACTCATCCAGCCATGCTGTGGCAGCGACCCACATACACAATAGAGGAAGACTGGCACAGATGTTAGCTCAGGGCTAATCTTCCTCAAGCACAAAAAGCAAAAGAAGAAGATTGGTAATATATGTTAGCTCAGGACAAATCTTCCTCAGCCAAAAAAAAAGAAAGAAAGAAAGAAAAAGATTAATTCAACTACTTCAAGGTCAAAAGTCTCTGTATAATCAAATGTGAAATTTGCAATTCATAACACAAAGAGTTAATGTCTCTAATACATCAAAGAGCTTCAAATTGATTAGGAAAAAAAACAACCTGTATAAAAATGAGCAAAGGATATGAACAGACAGTTCTCAGAAACACGAAAAGATATTCAATCTCACTGTTCATAAAAGATCCAAATTAAAACTACCCTGAGATACTATCTTTCCATATTAGATTGACCAAGATCAAAAACTGGAAGACACACGGGGCACTCATAAATTGCAGATAGGAGTTTAAATTGGTTTAACCTCTACAGAGGAAATTTGGCAATATCTACCAAAATGAGAGACCTTTTTAGTGTTGGTGAGGTACAATTTCTCTTCTACCCTCCTAGGGTCCTTGGCTGGACCTGAGAATTAACACAAGACAGATAAACAGGAGAAAAGCATACACATTTTTATTAAATGTTATATGTACAAGGGAGTCCCCACAAGAGAATGAAGACCCAAAGAAGCAGTTAGAGTTGAACACTTACAGACTGAATTGGACAAAGAGTAGTAAATTGTGAAAATGTGTCCAGGCAAAGGGGCTTGGGCTGGGATAGTTAACTGAGTGGGGAAGTGAGTAGGAAGATAAGGGGTTAGTTTAACATGGTTTGTTTGTACAGATTTCTCTCTGCCTTGACTCTCTGTCCCTAGTGATATGAATGTGACTTGCCTCCTGGTGCAAGGGGGACATCCTCCATATAAGGGTTTTATCTCCTGCATTCAGGAAGGAAAAGGAGAGATCAGAGTGCCCATCTTACACCTGCTGTTTTTCAAGTGCCTTTAGCTCAAAATAACTCTTCTGCCAAAGTGGCAAATTTAGGGTGCATATTTTGCCACCTTCCTAACCTAGCAATTCCACTCCTGGTATACTATCAGGGATACACAGATATCCTTGCACATATCCCAAATGCCACCCATACAAGGTAATTCATTACAGGGTCATTTCTCCTAGCAAAAGATTGGGTGGCGGCGGGGGGGGGGGGGGGGACTAAATAACCATTAATAGGACTAGTTAAATTATGCTTCATACAATGAAATATTCTACAGTCACTTTAATGACTTAAGAAACTCTTAGCGTGATGATGTGAAAGATTTCCAAATGGAAAAAGGAAGATACAAAACGGCACGTACAGTACACTATTATTTGTGTAAAAAGAAGGAAAAATAAGTATGAAATACGTATTTTTTTTCTTGTAAAATGTCCTGGAAGGAAACCCAAGAAAATAATAACACTAGTTGCCTATAGAAAGGGAAACTAGGCGGTGGGAGACAAAAGCAGCAGAGAGATTGCAGTGTATACTCATCATACTTTTTGAATTTTGAAACATGTGCATGGCACTATACCAGGTGCCCCAAAACAACTAAGTGGTTTAGCAATAAACATATATATAAATCATATATAAACTCTTCCATAATACAATATACTTCTGTTTATTATGTCTTTGTTGTGTAATTCAAACTAAAATATATTACTAATCTTCTCTTTTAAATGTGCATAAAGGCAGCAAATATAAAGCCTATCGAGCCGAACTCAGGCTATCCAACTGACATCCTTGCCATTGACCAAATCCTCAAGAAAAAGCAGAATTGGACAGTGACTGATGCAGCTGCTATTAAACAGCACGTGAGTATTCACCGTTGAATGCCTTCCCAGAAAGCATTTTCCACTTCAGTGCTTACAACCATAAAACGAAGAGTTTTTTCCTGCTCTATGTCTTTAAAATAAGACACGATCACTTATTTTTACCCATTGTAATGACGTTTCTTGCTCTGTAATCGAATGGATTCAGATGTTAATTGTTATCATTCATCCTGCTAATCACCTATGGAGCCATAGCCAGCATCGTTTCTGGGACATTCATTTGTTCCATGCTGGAAATAGCAACTAGTTAAGATAGCAAACTGGCAGTCACAGTGAGTGGTGTACTCAGGGAATCATGATGAGTGAAAGGATCTTTATTATAGCAGCTAAAAGAAGAAGAATAGTCTGAGTGTGCTCCCTAGGTGCCAGACACTGTGCCTTACAAGTGCTCTACAGGTACTAATCCATTTACTTAGCATAATAATCCTTTGAGGTAGGCACTGTTATCATTCCTTGCCACTTTACAGATATGCACAGAAAGGTTAAGCGACTTGCTCAAAGGCACACAGCTAGGAAGTAGTAGAGCCAGAATTATAAAAATGGGCAACTTGGCTCCAGAATCCACACTTTTAACCACAACTCTATGCTGCCTGTCTACTTCTGTGCCCTGACTTCTTAGCAACTTTTGTACTCCACAGAGACAGACTGGGGTGTATTTATATTATGCTACTCCCTTCTGCCTTTGACACGAATGCTTAAGCTCTCCTTGACACTTTCTACTTCCTTGGCCTTTACAATACTGCATCTTCAATTCTCCTTGTAGCTCTGGGTCCTTTCCTCTCTCTACTCTTTCCTAACTGTTCATCCTTTAAGTCTTAATATTTCCTAGTTTTCTGGTCTGGTCCTAATGCTCTTCTCTTTATATACCCTAATTAATTCATTTGTTCAGTAAATATTTATCCAGTGTTAACCAAGTTCTAGGATTAGGAGATACCTCAGAATAAAAAACACAGTTCCTACCCTCCGTGAGCTTGGAGTGAGGGTGGAAGACACGGAGAAGGAAATGAGCAGTAGTAACACATTGGGATAAATGGAACTAGAGATGGTCAGTGCTTCATGCCACAAAAATATGAAGGAGTGGGCTCCAACCTGTATCTCCTCATGGCCTACATTCACACTGGAGTAAATGGAAGCTGCTGATAGCCAAAGGCCTCCAGCTGCCTAAAGGGATAAGGACCTTGAGAAGACCAATGATTTGGCATCACTGTACCCCAGTCACAGCAGAACATTGGAGCTGTGTGCACTAAGTGAAGGGACAGCCAGGGCAGGTATTCTCGGAGCTATCTCAGTCTACCCTCCTTGTTTCAGCTGCCACCTAGATACTGATGACTCAACTGTCACTAGCCTAGACTTCTTTCTGGTACTTCTATCTTATCTCACTGACTGCCTGATGAACACTTCTACCTTGCTGTCTCTGCATATCAAACTGGGCATGTCCAAAACCAAACTCATCATCCTCTGCATCAAACTGGCTCTTCCTTGGGGATTCTGTATCTCACTGTTGATACCACCAGGTACCAGTCACTGAAACTAGAAGGCCAGGAGCCATCCTTAACTTACACTTTTTCCTTACTCGTCACATCCACCAATCACCAAATGTGGCTACTCTCATTTTCCCAAAGATTTTTGAAATTTGTCCCCTTCATTTTATTACTACTTCCTTAACTGAGGCCCTCATTAGGTCTTGCCTAGACAACAACCTCTAACCTGTTCCCCCTTCCCCACAGCTGCTCCCCTCCACCCATTCTCCACACAGCTGCTAATGATCTAACATGAAAATCCAACCATGTCACTGTCCTGCTTAAGAATGAATGCTTCCAGAGGAAGAGGGCACAGATGTTAGCCCAGGGCCAGTCTTCCTCAGCAAAAAGAGGAGGATTGGCAGCAGATGTTAGCTCAGGGCTAATCTTCCTTAAAAAAAAAAAAAAAAAAGAACGAATGCTTCCGTATCAACCATAGCAGGATTTTTCAACTATTTTCTCCTCCACCCAACTGAGGGATTTATCTCACCTCCATCAGAAACAGTAGCTCGCTACAGCGTGATTTTCACTGAGGAAAGGGCTCTCCCCAACCTCACTGCGATCAAGTCTAAGGGCCTGATTACAGCAAACACCTTGCCTACCTCGCCTTCGTCACTCCTTCCTTCCCACTTTAAACTTGACACTTTAGCTTACCAAAGCTCCTGTACCCCCCACCCCCAACTCTGGGATGCTTATTGCCTTTGAGCCTTTGTGTATGCTGTCCCCTCTCCCTGGAACACCTTCCCATCACACCCACTGCCTAATTTAATCAAATCCTGAGGACCTACTCAGTTCAGCATCTTCCCTGCCCTAGGCTGGACTGAGTACCATCCCTGGCACTCCTATTCCACCCAGAGCCTATCTCCATCCCACATTTACTCTTATTTTAGTCTACTGTGTTTTTAATATTCTTACAAAATTTCTTATTATCTCATTATTCCCAAGTAAGACACTTTCATTGTCCATCAACTCCTAACTCACATGTCCTCAATATGTAAACACAGTGACTTTCAAGTAGCCTGGAAACATAACACTTGGGATATCTAGAATTGTAGCTCCCAGATCAGATATTTCAGGGTAACTACCGTAAACTTCTGCTCTCTCTCACTACAGGTAAAAAGAGCTACAGATACCTATAATTTAGGAACTGCCCTTGAGCACCGGAAAGAAATGCTAAACCTATGGCAGAAGATCCGAGGGGATTTGATTGGGATAGACACTAAAAATGAGTCCTTTTATGACACCTTTTCTACTTATACATGGTCCTGGAATGTTTGCCAAGAATTACTTTCCCCAAAGGACTTAAGGTTATTTGATGCCTACGTGAATAGAAATTCCTTCCACAACTCTGTATTCTCTTCCTCTTCGGATATCAGTGAATGTGACACAGAGACAGGGAGAAAAAGAAAACGGAAACGTTTCAAAGGATTTCAACAATGAAATGTCTACGTTTTCTAAACAGCTCGTTGGAAACTACTTTTTCATAGATATCAAAATTATTCTTGCTTTTGTCTAATACATTCTTAGCAACTGGAAATATTGTCATCTTCTGAATTCTGACCAGTAAAAACGTTTAAGTCATAACACGGTTTCCGTTTCCTAATTCTCACCAGTAAATGGATGCCGCTCTGGTATTTCCCTAACCACCAGCTGCACTCTGCTGCCCCCACCTGGCTCAGAACTGCCTGGGCCGCGGCAGGAAGGAGCACGGCAAAGCTGGCACGACCTCAGCTCAGGGCCACCCTTCCGAGCTCCTACCAGCCCTCCCAGCAAGAAGCACTGGAGATTACGTGACTGTAAGTGGCATTAGGGTTTTGATTGTGAAAGAGGCCAGGGGTAGGGAATGACAATGACCTTTCAGTGTCAGGGAATAATACCACCATCCCTCAGGAAACCTTGATTAAATGTGGGTGTTCTCAAGGCTCCTTAGCCACACATCTTCAGACCGATCTCTTAGATTTACTCTTAAAAACAGCTGATCTCATCCATTACACTGGTGGTTGTTCTTTAATGCATTTAATAAAGAAGCACATGTATAACTATATTACAAGTTTGGGAGGGGTTGTAATTTTTTATTGTGGAAAAATATACATAACATAAAATTTACTATTTTAATCATATTTAAGAGTATATTATCCACTACAGGCTTTTTTCCTTTTAGGAAAAGGAAAAACATGTTCTGTATTGATGGGGACAGTGGCTTATAACATAAAATTATAACTTTCCAGGAAAAAGCAATGAAGTTAGTGAAGGTTCCCAAAACTGTTTAATGAAATAGCCTTGAAGTAATTTTGTGTCACCTTGAATAGTCAAAACTGTCTAATATATTTGCTGTTCTTTATAATATTATGATGTCAGGAAAAAGAACTAACCTTATAAGTAAGTGACCATGTTTTCTAACCAAAAAACAAGATTAGTGGTTTGACAAGAGTTGGGTTTTTTTTGGTATGGCTGTGAGTGTAACAGGCAATTTAAGAGATGTAATTTGGATGCCAAAATATCAGAATTTCTGGAATATTTCCTTGGATCAATGGGATAACAGGATAGAATATTTTAAAGTAGATTTCTCCTGGAAAATCTAAAATGTACAGAAATACATTCTTTCTATTAAATTGTCACACTGTTGATGACGGTGTAAATTGACATCTCTCTGATGGAATACACTGCAGCAACAGGTACTCAGCTGTTCACTCACCAATTATTTATTGAGTTGCATACGGTGCTGGACCCTCTTCTCTGACCTGGACATACAACAGTGAACAGACAGACAAAATGCCCTGACCTCACAGAGCTTTGTAATGGAGCTAATTATAACCATTGACACAGCACTTCCACTTCTGGAAATTAATCCTAAAGAAATAATCATGAATGTACAAAATGATTTAGTTATATGGATGTTTATCGTGTTGATTTTTTAATAGTAAGAAACTTAAAATAGCCTTAATGTCCAATAAATCATGATACAGCTATACAAAACAATACGAGGGTCATTAAAATGATGTTGTAAAAGAATATTTCAAACAAAAGAATGATATTCACAAGCTATTATTAAGTTAAAAGCAGACTACAACTGCTAAGAAGCACGAGAGAACTTTATGGGGTTGTCCTAAAACTTAATTATGATGGTGGTTGCACAAATAAACTGTACACTTTAAATGGGTGAATTTAATTGTATGTAAATTATACCTCAATAAAACTGTAGGAAGGGGGTGGCACAAAGCTGTTTGTTCTGAAGCTATTTTAACTTAAAAGTTATTTCTATAAATAAATTAGAGAAAAGGACTAGAAGGATATAAACCAAAGTGTTTAATGGGTTAAATTAAGGGTGGAATGGGGTATTTTCTTTTGTCTTATCTATATCTTCTAAATGTTATACAATAAACATATATTTATTTTGCAATAGTACAAAAAACCGCAAAAGCTGTTTTAAAATTATAGTTGTTAAACCAGCTTATTCAATATCTAGGGCTGCTACAAAGGCTGCCCAGGGTCTCTGAAACCTTTAGGAGAGCAAATTAGGACACCCGTATCCCTTCCCCAGCCCTTCAGCTCCAGAGTGCATGCTTACAGAGCCCAGAATTTCCACTGATTGGAACTGAAAAAAACCATGAAACAATTAACTACCCCTGTCCGAGGTTAACACCCAAGGCAATAGTCCAGACAGTTTTTAACCTTTGCATGCTTTGAACCCATGCCACCCATTGAGCCTGAAAAATTCTTGCTACTCACCAGCAGAGGGACCCCTAGCTCCTCTCACACGTAGTGCTTGCTGAACTCAACAGTTCCGTATAAAGTCTGATTCCACAGAAGACTCACAGCCATATCTATTAAATATCTTCCAAAAAGTTAGTTTAAGTGCTTCAAAAATGGACAAAAATGAGTTGTACATGTCAATCAAAGATCATTGTATAAAAGTTAAGTTTAGGATACTTTACTACATTTCATGAAAAAGGGCCAAGTTGTTTGACATTTTAAATGGCTGTAACCCTTGGAACTAATATAGTAAGTAACTTCAAGTGAAGACAGAGAGAGAGCTCTCTGTAAGAAAATATGCAGTGGGGAGGACAGCCCATGGCCGAGTGGTTAAGTTCTTGCGCTCCGCTGCGGCGGCCCAGGGTTTCGCCAGTTTGGATCCTGGGCGCGGACATAGTGCCACTCGTCAGGCCATGCTGAGGCGGTGTCCACATGCCACAACTGGAAGGACCCACAACTAAAAAAATATATACAACTATGTACCAGGGGACTTTGGGGAGAAAAAGGAGGAAAAAAATCTTTAAAAAAAAAAAAAAAAGAAAGAAAATACGCATTGGGACTGTTGACTGGGAACACTAACAACTTTTGGTGCGGGGAGAAAAAAAGCCCGTAGATGAGAGAAGATGCCAAGAATAAATATAAATCAACCACTTTATCTGCAAACAGCTGGCCTTGAGAAAGATAAAAATCCTTGTACTTGTTTTTTGGAAAGGAGCTTTTGTTCAAAATGTTTCAAAAGACCATAAGAATGGCAAAAGTATTGTGTCTTCAAATAAAGTACAAGTTCTTTACTATCTTATCTTTTTGGTTCACTCATGTATTTTTCTCTGATTAGGGTTTAGGCTTGTTCTCATTTCTTTGGTGGGAGAGGTATAGACTCATTGCTCCCCTTAGTCTTGCCTGTGAAAAGAATCTGCAGTGCAGTAAGGGTTACCGTGTGCCCAGTCTAGTGCCGCCCTAAGAACTAATTAACCCTTCCCTTCTGTTCTTCCAAATGGTAGTCATCACTCTTCCGGAAGCCTTCTCAACTAACCTCATCTTATATTGACAGCATACTTTCTCCTAGATTCTTCTGAGAATATTTATAGTAATTATCGAAATAGAAATGTAAGACTGAAAATATGTTAATAAGCTCTATTGTGTATGTATTACAATCTTGATTGTGCAAATAAACTTGAGTATAGATAATTCAAAAAGGTACATGGTTATAAAATCTTTTTAAACTTGTCCTTGGATTTAACAGATAAACCTCATGTTCTCCGAATTCATTTCATATCCTCCCCCTAGAAAAATAGTGTGTAGATAGATACATGTATATATGTGTGTGTATATATATATATTTCGTAGCTTTTCACACTGTGAAAAGCTGATTATAAAAGCTGCAAAATTGCCCTATTTCCTTAGCCTACTTGCTGCCTTCCTCAATTATTCTGGCCATCAGCTCTAAAGTAGGACTAGGTACCCTTAATTATTAAAGTGATTCATCACTTTTCCTGTCTTACAACTTGAAGGAAACTGGGGGACCTGTTAGAGGATCCTGGCATGGAAAGGAGGAGGCTCAAGTGGAATGTCTCCCACTTTCTTGGCGGCCTGCACGTCCACCAGCGGCGCCTCAACAGCCTTTCCCGAACTCGGAGCCCGCCCAAGCCGGCGGTGCCCCAGCGCCACGCCGCCGGCCGGACTCCGGGGCCGCCCGCACCAACCTCAGTCTTTTCCCGCTCAGACCCCGCGCCTTCCGGAAGGGGGCGTGGCCCGCAGGAAGTTCTCGCGTTACGGAAAGGTAGGGGTTTCCGGCTCCGGTGTCATGGCCGGTCCCTGCCGTGAGGGTAGTCCCGCTGGAGTCGGCGAGAAGAGGCAGCAGTTTGGGAGCCGCTTCCTGAGCGATCCGGCGCGCGTCTTCCAGCACAACGCCTGGTAACCGCCCTGCCCCTCGCCCGGCCTGCGGCTCGCCCCCGGTCCCGCCGCCCCGGAGCGCTCCGAGAAGCCGCTCACCGCCGGCCACGAGTCCCCTGCCCTGCTCGAGGCGCTCTCCTCCCACGGGAGAGGTGCTCCAGGGCCAGCTCCTCGCCCTGCCCGCAGCTGGAACGTGAGGGCCTAAGCTGTGCGTTTGATTTTCCAGGGACAATGTGGAGTGGTCGGAAGAGCAGGCCGCGGCGGCGGAGAGGAAAGTCCGGGAGAACAGCGCCGAGCGGGTGTGCGAGGAGAAGCAAGGTGGGCTCTCAGTGGTTCCGTAGCCGGCGTCCTGCCGGACGCGCCATCCCGGAGAACCGAGGCCGCCAGGAGCCTCTGTTACGGGACTGATAGCGAACTCGGAGGTAGAACGGGAAGGGGAGGGGATGGGCAAGGACGGAAAAGGGCTGCACCTTAAAATCTTATTAGGGCATAGAGAGTGTTTGGGCTTTGGTTTTATTTGGGAGAGGGTAACGTATCTTGAGGTTATTTTCTAGTAATTAAGTTTTTAGTTATGTTGGGTAGACTCCTATTAATATGGCTGGCCAGTGGCAACCGTGGGGCCACCTGATTGTGTTAGAGGGTGTACTTTCTACATGATTACACTTTGCGTGACGAAATGTTGCCTTTGAAACTTGATTCAAGTGATCAGATTCTAAATATTGTTGGGGGAGGAGGCTGATGACTGGTGAATTATGTCTGTTTTCTTGTGTGATGGCTATGAGGATGTAGGGCTTCTGCCAAGGAAAGGTGGGTGAAGCAGAGTGGAGATTAAGTCTGGCCAAAGAAAAAGGGGGCTCTTCTGGAGAGGTGGATGATTTCACTGCAAAGTATCCCTCGGTAGTAAAACTAGGACTGGTTTGAGCTATGTCCCAATAGAC